TATTTGCTTATTTAAGCAACTTTGTAGCTCCAATACTACAGAGTTGGAAATGGTGAACTTTGGACACGGCGGAGAATGCATATGAACTGCCTCGCTCAGATCAGTAGTCTCGCCTGTTTATTGTTTTTTTTTTTAAGAAAATTAAGAATTTCAATTTAATCTTGTTTTTATACAATTTAGTTTTTGTATATTTTTTACGAAATTTCAAAATAGGTAGCCTTAAAATGAGAAAATATTAATCAACTATATACTTATATACTTAAAGTATAGTTAAGCATACAATTTTTAATTTTACGCCTATGAAACAATAATCACCGATTAAAATTCATAAAATACCGCCCATAACAAATGTAATCGCTTTAAAAATGGTGCACGCGCTCCATACAAGCAACTCGTACATAAAATAAATGTGCGGTGCCTGTCGATTTTTATTTATCGCCTTGTTATAACATCGCTTAATCGCACGTTTTCCAAACCTTTGCTTTTATTCATAAAATAGAATATAGAAAGTGAACAAGTGACCATTAATATGGCAGTTTGCAAACTGCATGTGCGAGTGTTATACTTTTTGTCGCTGGTCGAGTGAAATTTTGAATTTAACGCAAGTTTAATGTAAATAAATTTGCAATGTTAGGTAAATTAAACTGTGCAAAAACTTTAAATTTATGTTTAATACTGTATTGCATTCACCCAATAAAATATTTATGTTTTCCTTTCAAAGTGGTCATTAAGTCTTTGAGTTTGAGAAATTTTAAGTTGGAGGGAATAACTGAAATGATAATAATACTATCATAGGACAAAGGAAAGGTTCTTTCTTAACATTTTTAATTAGCCTAAAATGACTCTGCTCGATAATAAATTAAAAAGGTTTAATTAATCATTAATTCCAGCCTAAGATTCATAATTTTAATATTGACAGAATTAATTTTTACTTTTAAAATATTTATACAAACTCTTGATTTCCTTGATTTTTTAAAATTAATTTTAAAGAGCTCTGGTAAAACAAAAAATACAGTTTTTTTAAGCGTTTGATAATTCTGTGGGTAAAAGGCATAAGGGGATAAGTCAAAAAAAGCAATTTTTCAATAAAGCCTTTAACGTGTTCGCATTAATTCAGGAAATATATTTATGTTTAGCGGGTATACGCTTTTGTTAGCATATGACATGTGCTAACTAAAGGGTATACACGCTAACCATAAATATATTTCCTGAATTAATGCGAATACGTTTAAAGCTGTACTGAAAAATTGATCATTTTGACTTATCCCCTTATGCCTTTTGCCCACAGAATTACTCATAAGACTTTATAGCAAGATATTAAGTTCAAAAGTCAAATTATTATAAACCTTGAAACAAAAATGAAGCCAAAAATGTATCATGTCAATTGAACTAAAAATCCTAAAAATGATGGGACAAAACCCTAAAGAAATATTCATTAAAAGCTTATTAGTTGCCTCGCACACAATCTACTGCCTTGGCTAGCGCCTCGGTCTTTAATGTACTATTCATTTATTAATATTGTTGTAAAAAAAACATGTAAAAAATGCTTTTTCCAAAAAAAAGTCTCAGCATTTCGTACCGGACCATTGTGTCCTTGCTTTAAATAAAATGCTAGTAAAAACGGTAACGCGCGACCGTGGTAGCAGAAAACAATGGACAGCGTCGTAATCGCAATGTTGCATCAATTGTTTGGTCACAGCTATCTGGGTGAACTATGTCTCTTCTAAACAAAAACAATGATACTTTTGTTCCTTTTTAATTAACAATGTATTTTTGAAGCTACTTGAATTACAAAAGTTTCTGGACAATATAAAATAATAATAATAATAATAAAATCGCATCATTTTTGAAAAAACAAATATTAACTGATACACAATTAAAATTTATTATTTAACATTTGAAAATAATTGTAAAATATGTTAAAAGCCATAGAAAAATAATATAACTCTAAATCAAAAAAAGTGGAAATTTGCTATAAAACTTTTAGAAAAGCGCCATCTTAATTTTAACTCCCCTGTTAACAGGGGATCATGAATTCATTAGATGGTTTTTAATAAATTATAAAATTAGTTTTCTTTGACTCTTCCAACTTGTGTTTTGTAGAGAAGTATAAGAAATATTAATAATATTTCGAGATTTAAATTTATTATTTTTACCTTCTTTATAAAACTTAATTTCGAAAGCGTATTACATATTTCTAAATTTTACGAGGTAAAATTCCAATTTTACATTCTAGTGAAACATTCATAAAAACAAAATCATAAATTAATTAAATTATGTACTTTAATCAAAAACTCTTGTAAGCACCTATAAAAACGATGTTTTTATAATTATATTTTGTAATTAGCGATTAATTTATGTTTCGATGCAAAAAATGCATAAATCCCCGGTGAATGGAAAATGGTCTGTGTCGGTCGATTTGTTGGAAAAGACCGCCCATGGGTCGCTGATAACCTTGAACTGGTCACGATTTATCGGATTCCAATTTGATTTATTGAATAAAATATTCAAACTTTTGTATGTGCGGAAAAACTCAATCGACCAAACGAACGAGCAACAAACAAAATTAATGCTGTGCGTTGTTGGAAATGCCAGAGACTATGCATATTTGAATTAATTATGCAACAATGTTGTTGGCCAGATGAAAAAAATTGAGTACAATTTTAAATAATTTAGATAATAAAGGTACGAAGCCTTATCCACAATATTAAGTAATAAAGGACAAAAGATTTTTATTTTTTTAAACTTGTTAAAAACAATAAAACTGTACTCAAAATTGTGTTTAAGAAAGCTATAATTTAGACGTCTTTAACACAAATTAAAATGAACTAATGTGTATTTTCTTAAAGATTCTTTCATAATTTTTCAAATTTGAATTAATTTGTACCTTGAGATTAAACACAATGGGGCGTGCGATCTTATTGCTTCCACATAGAACAAGTATCGAATTTTCCCATATTCCACATAAAGGCGCATGTAACACTCGGCCATTGTGGGTCAGAACGACTAGATTTTTATTTTTGCATCATATTTAGGTAGCAAACATTTGTTTATGGGTATTGTTGATCTTTTTTGTTGTACAATCATTTGTTTTCGGCAAATGTTTGAGTTATGTGGTGTTGGTACAATGGTCACGGACAAACGTTGCGAAACTGAGAATTTAACATTTTAATTTAATGATTTGGACAACTCACAAAAAGCCTAAATGTTGTGTTATTAAAAAAAATAATTATATCTCTTGTAAGGAAATGTAGATTAGGTACACTCATGAAATAAGTTTTTTGCCATTTTTACAAAACGTATTTAAAATTTGTACAGAGGCAGCATTTTAAAAAATTTGGAAATTCCTAAAATTTTGGAAATAAGTTTATAAAATTTGTCCTGCCATTTTTTATATTTATATTAATGTGCAAATTTTTGCCACATTTTCTTTATTTTAAACTACTGTGCGAATTTGTCCCACCATTTTTAAATTTATACTGTACTGTACTCTTAAATCGAGTCATACTAAGAATGCCCAAAGATAGATTAATTCATTATCAAAATATAAATTTTATCTTGTTTTAATCGATTATATTATTTTGAAATTAATACAAACCCGTAAATCGACTTTGGTTAAATCTTATAATTCTCCTTTTATTATTCTTTGAGTTCTATAATTAAATAATGGGATTATCCAATACACAACTAATAGACAATAGTTTTAATTAACATTTTTAATTATCAATTTTTGTATAATCATTGGAATCTTATTGACTTGCTAATAGACATCATATGTTCAATCTAACAATCTTTACCATCTGCCACTTCTTATTCACAACAATTCTTTTTTCCCTATAAAAAACGCGGAATTTGTAGAAAACTTAAATATTTAGGTGACATCGATTTTAGCAGGAAAAAAAAAACGAATATTAGAAACCATAAAGTTAGTGTATAAAAACGTGTAAATTGTTTTAAAATAATTTATCTATACTTCCGCTGTTAAAGACATTATTTCTGCTACATTCGTTACAATTATAGATTTAATAGGATACAATTATTTCCAGCAAAAAATGTTTACTCTAAACGATACATTATTAAAACATTTATCTAATAATGCACTTTACACTTCCTGCATACAACCGCTATGTTTTAAAATAATACTAAAAAATGTAGAAATACAAAAACCCGTTTTAAGATTAACAAAAAAAACTAAATAAAGTTTATGGTATGCTACATTCTAAAGGCGTTATATTTACGACGAACGTCAACCATGACAGTGTAAAATAATTAAAATTAAAAAAATAAAACACTCTACTTTCACTTTCTCGATGTTTTTTGTTTATGGCACGGGTCACTCGTACCTACTCCGGGAAATTGAACAACTTATACAAATCAAAAGTTTTTATTTAAAGAGCATTAACATTTACCGGTGTTTTTTATTATTATTATTATTATGCGGCATGCCTATAGTATTTCTCTATAGAATGCGATTATAAATTATAATTATAGATTATAATTTTAAAAGAATTAATCTAAATATATATTGTTGTTTATGTTAACATGCATTATAACTGCTTTACTTCAAAGAAAGCAAGTGTAGTGGGCAATTAAAAAATGACAAATTCATTTAGCACCCAGGTCTTATCAAAAAAATAGTAAACACGTGTTTAACGCATCATTGTCCTTAAAAATGTTACTCTATGAACATTAACAACTATTCGATAATTTTATTATCAAATAACTATTCTTCAATGACAATGCCGATTTTTTTATTAGATACATTGAGTTCGAAAAACAACAACTTGTTAAAGAGTGTATTGCAATAGGTTACACTTCTTAGTTCTTTATACAAACAAAAAATAAACAATTTAATTTTCCTAGCTTAATTTAGTCAATGTACATATATGTGGCAAAAAAATGTAAACACAACTTATTAGTAGGATTTTGGAATAATATAATAAAGAAAAACAATATTTTTGGACTATATATCTTCTTATTGCTCATTTATTTTGTTTCAGATGTATGGCAGACCCCTACTATACCTACTGACACTATGTGCTATAGCGTTAGCGACGGAGGAAAGAAAAGTCCACCGATTGGTGGGCGGCCATCTTAGGATAATAAACCCGGACTCGGACGACTCCGAGCTGATGACAGCGGCAAGCGGATCCAGAGAAAAAACGACGAAAGCCGACGACGAAGACAAAAAAACGTTGGCCCAACAAGTGGCCGACGGAAAATACGGATTGATACACAAGGAACTGTTCACCAAACCGCCCAAACGGCCTGGGGTGATCAGTTACGCCGACAATCCTGAAGTGCCTCTAGATAATATTAATACTTTGGGTGGGTTGACGAAGAACGATATTTGGTTAGCCGAGAATCACTTGCTGGTGATCAAAGGTGGCACCTATCCACAACATGATGATAAGAATGATTTTTCTGCTCCTATTTGGCCCGCTATTGACGATTATAAGGCACCAACAAGACAGGTTAAACTAATTTACTATTCCAAAAGATTTTTATAAAATGTTTATATAAATTTGTTATCTTGTTTAGGTAAAGATACCTGCTCATCCAAAGGTGCCGCCGCCCTTTCCCGTCCAGCTCCACGAGGGCGGGCCCCTTCAAATCCTGGGCACAAACTCTTCGAGAACGCTTAATGGAACTGAGACCGGCTACGCGCTCCCGCCTCCCGAAGGCTACGAGCCTGGCGAGGGGCCGTACTTCCCGTCGCCATTCCCGCCTCCCTATCCCGATCCGACCAACCTTACTGCCGGGCAAGCTCCGTTCCCAATACCTGGACTCCCTGCGCCGGGGGAGTACCCGGCGGGGGGGCCGTTCCCCCCCTTGAACGGCACCTTGCCTCCGTTCTTCGGTACTTTGCCACCTGGGGCCGCGATCATTCCGGCCCTGCCCCCCGTCAACCAGTCGGACTACGACGAGGACGACCCTTCGATTTACTATCCTCCGCCCTACAGCTTCTACTACCCCAAGGATAACACATCCTTGGTGCCGGCAGGTAAAATCTATAATTATATCAATTATATCAATACAACTCTCATTAAAAATCGATCGAAATGTAGGTCCTCTGGTGCCAGGCATAATCCTGCCACCACCTCCCAACTTTTTCGCCCCATTAGAAGAAACCACGAAGGCACCGTACCTAACAAGGAAACCAGCAAGGACGAGAAAACCGACCACCACCAAACCACCGACGCTGTACCCCACAACAACACCTCACTCATCTACACCTATAACACACAAAAAGACCACCAAGAAACCCACAAAGGTGTACCCGGTACATGTGACCGAAATAAACAACGAACTAAAACCTATCGTAACAACAAGACCTCCAAAACTTGTCACCATTATTCCAGCGCGACAATCGAACCGTACTTACGCGGCTGGAAAACCACAAAAGAAACAAAAGGTTACGATATTACGGCCAGTCAGCCCGACCACGCAAAAAATATACGCTTACAACAACGAAGCTGCGAAGAAACCGTTCAATGTACAATACGTCCCTCCAACAAAATCCTCAATAGTCAGCACAACTCAAGTGCCACTTAAGATCTACTACAGCACCGCCAACGAGATCGAGTCCAACTCCGTGACGCAGCAACCGCCACCGGAAAAATTCAGTATCCGCTTGCAACAGGTTAATCCTCAAAGAGTGGTGACGACCAAGAAACCGGCGCAATACTATTTCTACGAGGAAGAACCGCAGCAGAACAGCGTGACTACGCAGAAACCATACTTTAACATACCCAAAGAGTACTACGTGCAGGCCAAGCCTTCACCGCCTGTGCAGCCTCAGCAGTCTCCTCAATATATTTACGTGACTGGTCGGCCATATAATACACAAAAACCCAAGTTTAGATACGTGCAGCAACCACAGCGCGATTCCTTCAGCATTCATATTGCCAAGTTGCACAAACAAATACACCAGTACTATACTACACCTCGGCCGAGCTACAGGCCTATACATCAACCACGACCTGTATATCAATACAGCTTCGAAGCTAATGGTTATCAGAAGCCAAAAGTATTTAGACCTTCTGTACAGGACGACAGAACAGAGGATAAATTCAGACCACTACCCAAGTACAGCGTACAAATCCAACAGGCTATCGAAGTGATTCCCACAGAGGCGTCACAGCAGTACCAAAACTCACCCTCGCCGGTGTACTACAGGCAAAACTACCCGAGTACAACAGCACAACCTGCCAAACCGGACTACGATTACGAGGAAGCCGTCACGCAAAAACAATACTTACAGCCTGCGGTTACGCCTCGACCTGTGGCGCAGTACCACTATGAAGTAACGCCCAGCCCTGCTTATCAACAGGGTTACTATACTAAACCAGAGGAAGGCAACTTTGACGACATAACCAAAAAGTACTTTACAATGTTCGGAAAGAAATTACCCAGCGGTACCACGCCTCTAACCAGAGTAGAAGCAACTACAGGGCGCCCCATTTACAGGCAGGAGCAACAACAAAATTATAGGGGACAACAAAGACCCATTTCGCTTGAAAGCGACACTTATGTTAATTACGTGAATCCCAGACCAAGTGTGAATCCGCAGGCGGAGTTGATCAGTAACGTCCGGAACTATCCGCAGGTCGCCAAATACGTGCCGCGGCCTGCACAGCAACAAAACTACCGGCAACAACCGCGACAACCGTCGAAGCAACACTTGAGGGACGAACCGGAAATAGTGAAGGCGATTCCGGTGGAAGTGCCCGCTGAGGAAGATCAAGGTGGCTCTTTTATTTCCTATCAACTTCCGGGCGACGACGGGGCGCACTTTTACTTTCTTACGCCGCAGTTGGCGCAGAGGCGCGATCAGGGCGCCGGCTACTACTACAACACGAACCCGGAAAACGCCAGGATACGACGGGAAAACGACAAAACTAGATGAAATATTAAGAAAATTATACCCATGTTTTTATTGTGATAAAACAAATTGACGATTATTGTAAGGTTTTATTTATGTTGTGACTGCTTAGTGGCTAATTTGAACTGTGATTGCGCTATATTGTTTGTGAGTATTTAAATTGAGTGTTATTTTTTTAGGACTATTATTTTGATATTTTTGCTATAAATTAATAATTTTTTTGTGTAACCATGTCTTCCCAAAGTTATATTTATATATGTTATGTATAAAATATTTATTGCCTGTACATAATAAACATGTTTGGGAATTTGATGAAATATAAATTTGAATTTAGTCTTGTTTTTGTAAATATTGATATGTCTGAATATTATTTTATTATAAACAACCTGTAAACAATAAAAATGAAAAAATAAATCATTTGAATTGATGTTTGTTTTATTTTAAATTATAAGAAATATTTTAAAAATGTGGTTCATTTACAGTCGACGAAAGGCTGTAGTTTATTTATAAAATATTTAGCGAATTTATAAAAAAAATATGCCTATGTATGTGTTAGATATAAAATATTGTCTGGACATTATAAACAAATTTGTGATATTTTAAATAATTGATATGTGAGTTGGTGTCCCTATTAATTTAAACATATTATGAAATATTTTAGAATCAAAAGTCAGATTATCAAAAAAAAAATATTGCAAACGGCGTTTTTAACTGTGAAAATAAAAAAAATTGCACTACCCAAAAATAATAACTACTCCTACATTGACAGTGGCTTTTGGGCATTTTAGTCACAGGTTGTAGTTAGCTTTATTCAAAATTGCGAAAAAATCGTCAAATGAGGGGCTTGGAAGTAAAAGGGTTCAAGTGCACTTTTTTAAATAAATGGTCTAAGTGCAAAATATCACACCTAAAGAATATTCTAACTTAGTGGTAAAATTATATAAGTACATTTTACATTCCCTGGCGCCATTTCTTATCGTCTTTAAAAACCTGTCAAAATATTTTAAAATATATCTTTGGTAAAACGATTTAGGTGCACCTTTTAATGCTAAACATAGGCTATTATCTATGCTGCTAAAGCCTTGACAAGTATTTTTAAACATGTCAAGTGATTACGTGTTTTCACAGATATTTTTCAGTGTTAGTCCCTACTGACATTGATCCTACGTCGGAATAGAATCGGCCATAGGATGTCGGCCAGCAGACATCGGACGTATGTTCGCACAAGCGATTCTGATTATGAATAATACTTTTTGTTGTAAAACTTACCCAAATTTTAAAAAATAAAGTTTTGTTCTAGTACAGTCAGTAATTGCATTTAAATCATTTTACCACTAAATTTTGTCTTACATGCATTACGATTCCAGTACCGTTTTGTAAAAAAAAATAACAAAAAAGCGAAATTGAAAAATTCCTTTTTCTTTATAATCCTTTTTAGTCTTTAAACAAAACTAAAATATTCACACAGTTTTTTTAAACTCTTTCCTAGAATTTTAAAATTCAAGTTAACTTTAAAGCCATTTATCTCAGAACTAACAAAAATGCACTTAAACCCTTTTACTTCTAGGCCCCTCAATTATTAATTAAAATTCTGTTAGTCGTATAGTATGCAACTCGTTTTATAAACTTCTTATAAACTTCTAAACTTCTCCATGCCCTCGTTTTTATTAAACACTCGTAACTAAAATGGCGTTTATAAAAGTTGATACATAATATGCTATAAATTTAATTGTTATATAATATATGTACATGTATTGAATACCTCCAAAAAGTATTAATAAATGTAGGTAAATTAACAAAAAAGTGTAAAATAAACTATTCGCAAAAATGGCGAATGCGCCGGGATTAATGGCAAAAATTTATTAAACTCTTTGGTGGAAAAATGTATTTATGTAAGTAGACAATTTAATATTTAGGAAACGCATAAAGTTGTGTTACTTTTCTAACTCAGTCGCTCAGTACTGCTCATGCGCATTAAACCTAAACGCACTTATATGTATTATTATAAAAAGTGTTGCTCTTGGGAAAAACAGCAAAATTAGCTATAGTTTAAAATTAGTTTTGGTTGAGTTTATGTTTTCCAAAGAATATAATAAACTATCTACCTAAACCGTTTTTAAGTGTATACAAACTAAACTAAGACATTTTAATATAGGCAACTAACGTTGCTTTATTATTTACCCGCGACTTTGTTCGCGTAAAATTAGTACTTTACATAAGCTATGATAAAAAGTCAGTCAAAAATCAAAGGTCAAAAGGTTTAAAGTCAAAAAGTATACAAAGGTATACGTATACATTTTAAGGCTCTAGTGAAAAATTGCTTTTTTTTAGTTTTGACCTTTTACCTACAGTAATAGGATTGCGTAAAAAACACTTTTTCGGGTGCAATGTCCGTCCCCGGGTATATCCGCAACAATTTTTATCAAAATCGGTTCAGTAGTTTTAGGTGTAAAAGAGGAACAAACAGACATAGTTTCGCATTTCAAATAAATATGTATGGATTAATAGCAAAATTACGGAAATATCTTCTTTAGTATAAAATTATTATCACTAAAAGTGTTAATTTTATTGTTTCTTTGTTAAAAAATATATGTATATATTATATACTATATCATTTACTTTTATAAGTTTTATAAAAATTAAATTGTCCACAAATATATATTACATATTAATACAGTTGATATATTAAATTTTTTAAATAAAAAAAAAGTACAAAATTGTGTATTTATATTTGAGGACAATTTAATATTTAGGAAACGCATGAAGCTGCGTTACTTTTTCAACTCAGTCGCTTAGTACCGAGCATGCGCCTAAACCTAAACGCAAAACTTTGTAGGCCCAGTCAGATACTTTGGTTAACACGAATAACCTTTTAAAATTAAAAAAATTATAAATGTCACTCACCTGTTAAAATGTCCTGTTCGGCGCTCTCGTCCTTGAGCGGCTCGTCGAACAGATGCAGGTACACTTCGATGGCGCATCTCGCGGCCTTGAAATAGAACGGGTGTCCCCGTAGCACGTCCTCCAATCGCAGCAGGCCCACGTACGATCGCAGCGTCATCTTGCGCATGCAGTACGTGTGGAAATCGAACTGGTCCTCGATTATTTCAGAGAAGTGCTGCAAAAAAAATAATCATATATTATATCACGAGAACTATGAATTTAATCGGGTAAATTAGGCTCAATAGTTTTTTGTTTGGTTTTTGTTGGAAAATGTTGAATGCAAAATAATTTAATAAAATCACGAGACCGCGTAGCGGTCGAGGGGTTTTATTTTTAATTATTTTGCATGAAACTATTTTCCAAAAAGAAAAATCAAATAAAAAACTTACTGAGCATAGTTTGACAGATTAAATTTATAGGTTGAGTGATATATGTCTATATTATTTCTCGAAACTATTTGACAATTCATAAAATCTGACGTATGTGTCAAAATTTATAAATATTTTTTTAAGAAAATTCCATTAATTTAAGGTATGTAATAAGTAATAATTGATATTTCGTAAACTAGATAACTTATTTTTTATTGTTTTTTAAAAAATGTTTGTTAAAACTTGTAAATAACACCATAAAATCGTAAACAAAAATCCAATATGGAGGCTAAAATTTAATCGCTGTTAAATAGTTCTAGTGATTTATTCGCTTATTTAAACGAAATTTATTCGAAAATTCAAGGCTTTTGATTGGTTCATATTATAATGAGGGAAATAATCATTAAAAAATCATCCCCACACCTAAGTCTTGTAATATTTCTCAAATTGCATCCACCAAAACTAGGGTTTTCTTAATTTCCGGAAAAATTGAGCCGGAAAAAAAACGAAAAAAATGGGAAAATTTTCAGAAAAATTAATTTTTGCATTTTTTCATTTTATTCAAAGGGTAATACGAACAAAATGCAAAAGTCAATTTTACTAAAAATTCCCAAATTTTTACGGATTAAAATAATGTTAAGTTGTTTCAAATGTGTATATTTTCCAACAAAAAAATCAATTTTTGAAAAAGAAGGGAAAAAACTGTTTGTTTTTTTTTCGACACTATAAAAGCCAAAGCAAAACCCGTATATCCTTACCCTGTCGACTTCGTGGCACTTTTTGAGGGCCTCGCCGTACTTGCCCAGCCGCTGAAAGGCTAGCGCGCACTCGGTCTGGAACCACATGCACTGCATCTCGTTGAGGTTCTCCATCGCCGAGACGCCCTCTCGCGTGAACTTGGCGCACGTCTCCTCGGCCTCCTTGACCAGGTCGGCGCGCAGCATGTACTTGGCGCATTTCGAGTTGATGTAGCGGTCGGCGGTGTCGAGCGCTTGAGCCTCCTCGAGCCAGCGGTACGCTTTTTGCGGATCGCCAGCGTGCTGCAAAAACAAATAAATCCACAAATAGACCCACATAAACCCACAAATTAGTGCACAAGATCCAGGACGAAAAAGTAACCTTTAGAAATTTTGAAACACAAAAAATTAGAACTTTGTATATAACGGAGAAGTTAAACAAAAAGAAAAATAGGTAGGGGTAACCGACAAATAATAACCAAACCCTGGGGCTCCCCGAATTACACTTTGAGAAACGCTGCTATAAAAAAATATAAACAAATAAGATAAATGGGTATTTTTCTAAAATTAACAGGTGTCTATTTCATTTATTCCCTAAATAATGATTCTAGTATTAGATTTTGTTTACATTTTTGATATTTTTTTGTTCTGAACTAATAAAACAGTAAAAACTAGCATCGCGTCCTATCGAGGAATTAAATAATGCGGAACCCTATTAAAAATGCCATATAGAAACACAAAATAAAAATCTATATGGTTCTATCTGGTTCAATATAGGAATTTGAAACAGGCATTGCACTATTGAACCAGATAGAATTCCATACCTGGAAAACCATATAGAAAAGTGATTTCTATATGGATTGCCATATAGGTTCATATTGCTCTATCTGGCCTAATATGGTTTGGGTGTGAAAAAAATTATTACCATATAGATCCATATTTAACCATATAGGGGAATCTATATGGTTTAATATGCAATTTTCGTTTAAATATATATACATTTTAAAATGGAATTCCATATTCAACCATATAGGGAAACCTATATGGAAAGACACATAAAACAGAAACCAGATAAATCCATATAAAAATCCCTAAGTTGTACATTTTAAAATGAAATTCCATATTAAACCATATAGGGAAACCTATATGGAAAGACACATAAAACAGAAACCAGATAAATCCATATAAAAATCCCTAAGTTGTACATTTTAAAATGAAATTCCATATTAAACCATATAGATTCCAAAGTGTAAACCAGGTCGTTCCATATAGGACATATAGAACCATATAAATCCATATTAGTTTCCTTATCTGGATCAATATGGGTTCTATAGGGCATTTTTAATAGGGAACCGCTAAAGCAATTTTTTTTTTAAATGTATGTATCGGAATTGTGATATAGGTATTATAAATTAGTGTACAAAACGGACAAAAAGACCACAGTCGTTATATGATTAATTAATAATAATTATAATAATAAGCACCTACAAGTTACTTAGTGCTGCTAAGAAGTAAGTACTCAAAGTACAAAATTGACAAGACAAATCCCCTCATCATATTAATGTATTATTTATAACATTAACAAAAAATATAAAAACAGTATACTTAAGCTACAAACATTTAAATAATAGTAGATTTCATATATTCATAATCATTGATTATGATCGGCGAAAATTGTGTAAATATACAATATCGTAAAAAAAATCGAATATTTGTGTCTACATATGAATAATTTGAAATAATATTAATTGTTATCTTAATGACATAATATGTAAAAATTAATTACTTCCATTAAAATAATGATAAAACCTAATTTTAGACTATAATTTTATTGACAAACTACCACTTAGTTTTTTATTATTTCAAGGTTTTAAACTTTACCTAGTATGAAAACATAAAATCACCAAAACTTTGGCGATAAATGGCGCTTTATTTTAAATTTGTAAGAATATTTATTTATACAGGAGGATTAAACACAAGTTTCTAATAAAGTTTCAAAAATGAAAAGTTTAAATTTTAATCAAAACGCGCATTTAATTTTATTAATACTATTAAATTAAATTTTACAAGAAATATGTAATATAAAATAAAATGTCAAATATTGTAATTTCTTTTACACACATTTCTAATCTTTTATTTAGCGCTCAATTTAACGCTGGAATACATATGTAGAATTAAAATGTGGGAATATGAAATTAAATTAATACAACTGATAAATATAAAAAATAATATAAAAATATAGTTTTGTTTTAAAAACAAACAAATGTATTATGCAACAACACACCTAAGAGAATAATTTAAACTGGATTTTTAAATAACTTCAGCACAAGGTTAATAATAATAGCAACTTAATAATAATATTAGCTTAATAAAAATAAATTACCTTATAAATTCTCCCTTTGGTAACAAACAGCTCTATAAGAGTTGGAGTGTGTTCTATGGCATCATCAATATAATTTAAAGCTTTATTTGAGTCGTTGAGATAGTCGTAATGTTGAGCTAAGTAAAAATATACCCATAATAAAGCACTTGCTGGTTCCTTTGGTCCGTTATTAACTTCACTTTCACTGTATTTACCCACTTTTTTCAAAGCTTCCACATATTGCAACAACAATGCTTCAATTATTTCCACTTTACTCTTGTCATTGTACAAACTACTTAAGTCTACAAATAGAGGAGGCACACCTTTTGAAAGAGCTTTTCTCATGTACGCGTCGACTAAAGTTTTAAACTGATCACCTTCGGCATAGTTCAGCGGAAGTCTTTTTGGCGGCGAGGCTCTAGGATATTTCTTCGCATAGTATAAATAAAAATTGACTATATCCTTAGGTTCCGTGATTTGCATGGCCTGAATTAATTTTTTGTAACAGTCTGTATTTTCGGGATTCCTTCGAACTAATTCCTTAAAATATTTTGATGATCTGTCAAATTGCTTCAGTTTTAAATGTAATTGACCTAAGTTGTCTTTGAAAGTTAGCTTGTCAACTATTTGATTTTGGTTGGTTTCCAGATGGTGTAATGCTTCGTCTAAATCACCAGATTCTTGGATCACCAGGTTTTGATACAACAAAAGTTCACTATGCTCATAGTCAAAGTTACTTCCCTTCTAAAAACAAACAAATATTAACATTGTTTAATAGTATAAGCGTCTTTTAAACTTTAACAAAAGAAAAGTTTTTAATGATTTTTATTTAAAGTTGTTTTGTGTTTTTTTATATAATTTTTGCAAAACTGCATATTTTCGGAACTTTTCCATAATTTTTGTTTATATTTATACCCTTTAAATCCCCTTTAATATTATATTAACAATTAGTCACAATTACTATAATTATACCAATACAATGAAAATATATTGTTTATGAAATTGAAACTTAAATTATAGAATGTTTGGCAAAAATTTATAATTTATTAATAAAAAAAGCAAAATCTTTTACTTAAACTATTAAATTTGAGGAGATCTGTGGATAGAAGAAAAATCCAAACATTTGGAGGAAGAATTGTAACACAATTACAATAAAATCAAATTTATTATAAATTATTTAAGAAAATTGCTGTTTTAAAAGCAATAAAATATCTTCATCTTAGATGTATTAATTTGGGCACATGCACCACAGTTAACAAATTCAACTTTTCTGTTGAAGAACCAATAATTACATTTCAGGGGTGCGTTTTAAAGCATCAGAAAACCCTGAAAAAATTGTGAAAAAAACCTGTTTTTTTTCTTTTTTCCCTGGGCCTTGGAAAAGGTGGCTTTTTAGGGAAAAAATGATTTGTTTGTAAAATTGAAAAATACACAAATTTTTTAAAAGAATTGTGGTTTATATTGTTTGTATAGAAGTTTCACCCTAATCATATAATAATAAAAAAATATTTACCTGTTGTTGGTCCAAAAAAGTTTCTAGTATATTTAAGGCATTTTTATAATCCTCAAGCAAGTGGAAAGACATTGCATAACCTATCCAGGAAGCCCTTTGTGTAGGTCTTAACATTAACAGTTGATACCTTGTATCCTTAAAAAATAATAATTGTTAAAACCTTAATTCAATTTTAACACCACAAAAATATTAACAACTACAATAATTGTAGCTAGCCACTACATTTTTGTTTTTACATAGTTTTTTTTAGTAACTGCATTTTAATTAACCTAGACAAGCCTATTGACTATTGAATTTTTGATTAACCATGTATAAAAATCAAAGGTTCTCTACATCCATAAATCATTAAAAATCTTGAGGCAAAAAACATTGCAAATTTAAAGCAATTATTTCAAATACTTGAAAATATGACTTTTGCAAATAGAATCACTTTGACCATACTTACTTTATAACCTTCAAGATCCCTCATTTGTATTTGCAACAAAGATAAATCCCTAAGAATCTGTATATTATCCTTTTCCCATTTAAGGGCATTTCGATAACATTTGATAGCTTCATCGTATTTCTTATCAGATCTCTGCAAAAGGCCGTAAACATGCCAGCACACATGTGATCGCAAGTCATTTCTAAGGCCTCTTCTAACATGCTCATAAGCTTCTTCTTTCCTGCCCAGGCAATTTAATGTCAATCCTTTCATTGCCAATGTTTCTAAAAAACAATGGTTAGGTTAGCTTTTTGAGTGATTTAAAATAAATATTTTGTTGCTTTAGAATCAGGTAATTTTTTGGCCAATTTTTAGCTGTCTGACAATTTAACCAAAGTTAACCTACAACAATGTGTTTTGCTATATAAGAGTCAAACTTGTATTGAAAGTTTTCAAACTCCAAAATTTAAAAAATGGACTTGAAATAACCTTGTTCTAAGGCAACAATTTGTAAACTAACCTCCATGTTCAGTGTATTTGGGGTTTGATAAAATTTGCTTCGCGAATTTCAGCCCATTCTTGTATTGTTTTTGTTCATAACACTTCTGCAAATAAGGGAATATGTTTTATAAAAATAATTATCACATAATATCAATGAAAGCAAAGTTAAAAATAGATTCCCTTTAAATAATTAAAATTAAAGTAGATGGGGGATGCATTCAATATAACGTTTAAATATGTTGAAAAAGGACCTTCAAAAGTCATATTGCACTGGGTAAAAATGAGTCAGTAAAATTTGTTATTTTGATAGGATGTGGGATTTTGTTTAAATATTTAAAAGGGCACAGCGTACTAACCAGTATTCTTTTAAATAAGGCATTTTCTTTCGGCGGTAGAGGATTGCTTGAAGGCATTCTTAATAAGCACTAAAAACTTCCAACTCTGAAACCGGTGAACTGAAATTTGTTAGAAATCAAAACCTCGTGGCCACAAACCTCTTCCAATGTCGATCGCGGTCACGTGACTGATGTCGCCCGACAGATGCCGGCATTGCAGTAATCTTGACACATTTATTATTTTATACAGGGGAATATCCAAAACACCCTAAATACGGGGGAGGTAATAAGTACAATATATAATTAATAATTTATAATACCAGAACTAAAGTTCATTTTTTTTTATCTGGACTGCGGCAACGTTGCAAATTTAGGGTTTTGGTTGGTAAATACAGTTGTCAAGTTGGTCGCATTGATTAAAACAAACTAAGCTAGTTATAAATCTAATTGTGGTTATGTATAAATTATTGTAGGTTACATTGTGCAGTTGTCAAGTTGAGTTGAAGAAATTCGTAGTTAAAAATGCAATTGATTTGGCTTTGGTGGTGCTTGGATGAGTAAAATCATATAAAAGAGTAGTTAAATATAGACTGCTTTACGGCCCAAAAGAGAAAGTATTCCTAATTTATATTAAAGAAATTAAAATTTTTTGTGAACGTAAATGCATTGTCATGTTGTCCAATGCACAATTGTGTGGATTGTGGTCCAATGGTGAATAATGTGAAAATAATGAGTGATGTAATGTAAGTTTTGACCTTAAAAGGGCTTTTACATTCGAATTCGTTGCCATTATTTTTGGCATAATTATCTTTTTATTTATAATTGACAAGTAAATTATCAATAATAAATAGTATTGTCAATTTGACAGTGTCAAAGTATTTAATTAAATTCTTTAGCAGAAGTACCATTTTTAAATACTTAAAATACCAAGTCAAACTGGCATAAGCCACCAACCTAACAAAAAAACACGAGTCCAGAAAAAAAAAATTAACTGTATTTTGTTCTCAATTCCTGATAATTTTAAATTTTACGCCTGGCAACACTGGGCAACACTGACAGTGTTCTTTGATTTGTACTACACATTTTGTAGGTTAACATCAAGCCCAAATCATGCCAAAAAAGAAAACGGGTCAGCGTAAAAAAGCAGAAAAGCAAAAATTAAGGCAAAAGGGAATTAGAACGGCTAAAGAAAATGTTCAGCTAGCCGAACATCCTTGCAATGGACCTATGGAATGCGAGAAATGTCATAGGTTAGGTTTTACAAAACCAATTTTTTCGAAATATTTAATATTTTTGTTACAGGAAACAAAGGAATAGGGCATTTTGTTATTTTTGCCAAAGCGTGCAACGTTTACCAGTGTGCGCGCAATGTGGTAAAATGAAATGTATGTTAAAAACTGGGGATTGTGTAATTAGACACCCTGGCGTATACACCACTGGAATGGGCATGGTTGTAAGTATTTATGTGTTTTAAGTGTTTTAGAGTTAGGTACCATAATATATTAAAATAAATTATCAAGAAAGCAAAACATTCTCTTTAATATTTTTGCAAGCCTGCTTCGTTTTAGAGGTATTGAGTGTTTTTTTTAAGTTAGTTTTCCTCATGGTGTACAATTTTAAATTTAATAAGTGCTTAGAATTAGTATTATTGATGTAAGGTTTGTGACAATTACAACCAAGTCGTAATTAACCCTACACTTAAAAAAAACATTTAAAATTGCAATAAAAAAGTTACCTATTAGGTATTTAGTCATTTAGCATTATATTACATACTTTATTCAATGTATAATTTCATTTTTTTTTTATTGTATATATTTTTTCCTGGGCTGAAATTACAGATTATTCTGCCTTTCAGCAGTAATGTAGGTATATATATATACCTACATTACTGCTGAAAGGCAGAATAATCTGTAATTTCTAATGCATTATTTTATTTTTACAACAAAAAGGTAAATTATTATTATTTGGTGTTTTTATTTGTGATTTTTCGTCCAATTTTCATTGAAAATATCCTTTGCAATTAATTTAAATTAAACTTTTTTTAATAATAACTTTAAATAAATTTACTCACAACTAGTGGGCCACAAGATTTTAATTTATTTAATAAAACAAAATGGGACTTTTTGTTGGACATATATTTATATATAGTACCTACATTTAATATCCTATATGGCATGTGCTCCACAAGGTAAAGTCCACATAAATTATAGATACAATAAATACACATTTTAGTAATGATTCACGTGAAAAGTTTAAACATTTCAATTCGGTAAAAATCGTCAAACAAATAAGTCATCTAAATTTAAACAGCATTTAGCATTATTGATTAAGAGTCTTTACTCAACGGTAAAATACCATTATTTTATGTATTATATATAATATTATGTTGCTATGAATTCGTAGGTATATTTTGTTGTTTAAAATGCAGTTGCCGGCGTTTTTTAGAGAACTCAAATATAAAAAAGGTTCATTTTAGGGTTATGTTTGTGCAAAAATTATTTTTTACTAATTTCTTAAAAATTTCGAAACTTAAATATAAATTATATTAGGTAAAGTTATCATTATTTTATTCAGCACCAACAAATGTACTTATCAAATTGGATCCTTTTGCAAAACATGAAAATGCAATGATTCAGTTCTTGAATTTTATTTACAATTAAAAACACAATAATTCCCCACGATGCCTTAGATAAAATACACACACTAACGTAACTATATAAGCATTTAAGCGTTGAGTTTCTTAATCAATTATATAAAGAATAATCAATCGAATTCGAGTACTAAACCAGTTTTTTAGTTTTTTCCTTGCAACGTAAAACACAAATAACGTGCGCGATTTAGGTGTGCAATTGAACAAAATTTGCCTTCCTCTCCTTTGTGTAAAAACAACCTATTTATTTAAAAATTATGTATAATATGTGCTCTAAATGTATTGTTGACAATTCTTAAATTCACGCAATTCTATCGAAGTCCACCAGATAGCGTGCGCGTTGCGAAAACCCGATACTTCTTTAGCGTATACTATTTTTTTATTTATCAAAATTTAAAAAAAAATTAAATTATAAATTATATTTGCGTATCACACTCTGGCCGTAGAGACAATACAAAATGCAAATGCGTATCGTACTGTGATTATTATTGTATACAAATGGAAAAATTTATTTATATCTTCTAGGGTGCAATTTGCGACTTTTGTGAAGCTTGGGTTTGCCATGGTCGTAAATGCCTGCAATCACATGCATGCACTTGCCCTTTGCAAGAAGCTGTTTGCATTGAATGTGAAAGAGCTGTTTGGGACCACGGAGGACGTCTTTTTAAGTGTTCGTTTTGCAATGAGTTTCTCTGTGAAGATGACCAATTTGAACATCAAGCTTCTTGTCAAGTACTTGAGTCAGAAAATTACAAGTGTAATGTAGAAATATGTAAAATATATTTCTATTTTATAGTACATTTTTTGTAGGTCAATCTTGTAATAAGTTGGGTCAGTATTCTTGCCTGAGGTGCAAAACTTGTTACTGTGAAGACCATGTTCGGAGAAAAGGTTTTAAATATGAGAAGAATAAGGGTATCCCTTGTCCAAAGTGTGGTTATGAAACATCGCAAACCAAGGACCTCAGCATGTCCAGTAAGAATTTACAATTTTTCTATTCTTAGGGTGGTCTTAAAACTTCTTTAACCTTTTATTTTGTTTTACAGCTAGAAGCCATAAGTTTGGTCGCCAAGGTCAATCAACTTATGATGATGAAGATGAAGAGTATGGCAATGAAGCTGGTGGATTTTCCTATGGAGGTGGTTCAAGTGGTTATACATATGGAGGAGGTGATTACGGAGATGAGGATGATGAATCCGATGATGATTATGATGATGATGAGGAAGACTCAGAAGAGGAATCATCCGAAGAAGAGTCTGAGGAAGAAAAAGAAAATAAAAAATAGATATTTTGTATATTTGCATGTATACTTTTGTATAAAATATATATTGATGGTTAAACTTTGGTATTATTTTGTAATTTTGATTATAAAAACTCAAGAAGAAGAAATTGTTATTTGAGTGATTCGGGGTTTTCTTTGGTGATATGGTTATTAATCTATTATGGCAACACTGCTATTAAAATCAATATTACCAATAGACCGGAAATAAACTACATCTAATAAATAAAAATAAAACCGCAATACCTAATTTATTACATTGTTTTTAAAGAACCAAATATTTAAAAGAAAATTTACAAAAGTTTTAATTATAATAGCAAATTTATAAAGATAAATTTTTGATGAGGGTGTGGCAACCTAGCAATTTTTATTTAAGGTGCATGATGAAACATATGTTTATTTCATGAAAAAAACTATAAAATACAATCGAATTATTTTTTAAACCACATTATAATGTCTGATAAAAGTAAATATACAAAATAATAGTAAAAACTTTTATAGGTTATGATAAATTTTCAAAACTTTTAGAAGGTGCTGTGGGCCCTGATGGCTTAACCAAAAAAGAACGAAGAGCTTTAAAAGTACAGGCAAAACAAGGTGAAGGAAATCCAGCACCAGTAGAGAATAAAACCCAGGACAATAAGAAAGCTGTTGCATCAGAAAAAGATGTTAAAAAAATTGCTGATACACCTGTATTGGCTGAATTATCAGAAAAGGAAAAACGTAAATTGGAATGGCAAAAGAAATTAGCTGAGCAAAATGTAAGTAATAAAGAGAAAGAGGCTTTGAGTAAGGCTGAACTGAAGCATAAACGAAGAGAACAGCAGGAAGCACAACGATTAGCAAAAGCTAAAGAGGATGAGTCAAAGAAAGTTCCTGTCAAGGTGGAAGTTACAGTGGAGAAAGAAAAATCGCCTCTCAAGAAAGTTGGATCTCCAGTTAAGAAACCGGATATTAAGAAGAATGTTAAAAGTATGCAAAAAGTACAATTAGTACAACATTTGTACTGTGAGGATCAACTAAAGTCTGAATTTGGCGAATTAATTGTTAACTATAAAAATGTCCATCCAGCTTTTATTAGATTAGGTAAGAATTTGTAAATTATTTTAAGTTTAAGCTCCATTTAATTACATAAATTCAGGCATTGTTCATACAGGTATTGTTTTCTAGAATTTTTTTACGTGGGCAAACCTATAATAAGAAAAGGGACCTTCTGTCCAAAAACAGATTTTCAAGATCATTATTATTATAAAGTAAAGTTGTAAATGATCACTTAAAAGGTCCAGATAAAATTTGTTTATCTGAAAAATTACATTGCTATTAATTTTTGAAGTTGAGTATTACTACACAAACGCCTATGCCAAGCAAACTTTAATCAATCCTGGAAAATTTGATTATGGATGCTAATAATAAATTCTCGGATCGCGTCACCTATGTTATGGGCCATTGATTTTTGTCCTTCAGCCAGAATTATACAACCTATAGGTTTTCTTTAAAAATAATACAGTTTGTATGTAAAAAACATTCCTATGTTCGGATTTTTTCTTGGGGATTATCTTGAGGGTTGTTTTTGATGGATATTTGGGTCTGGCATTTCTTATCTTCTCACGCAAAATTTCATTGAAATCTCTCTTTAAATTTTGCAGCCAAGTTGGAATTATTTCTGTTTATTTTGGCATAACATATAATATATTATTATTATGATGTTAGATAATATTGTGTTAGGTATATAATATAACTTATATTAGTGCATACATTTTTTCTGGTACAAATTCTGCTATTTGTGATCACTATTACCCCAAAATGTAAAAGGAACCAAAAATTGGTCACACTTTTAATGTAGATTTCCTCGCGATGATTGATGTTTTTTTTTAAATTGTAGGTTGACTTTTTATTTACAATGCTATGCTATGAGCTGAGATTTCATTAAAAAGACCTGACCTCAAAAGAAACTATGTGTTTTATTGAGTTTTATAATCCTTATTAAATATTTTACTTTAGGTGTCCAGTATTCGACAAAAACAATACTAGGATCAAATGCTAGATGCTTGGCACTACTCTCAGCCCTTAAACATCTCGTAGAAGACCTCCACACCCCTCCAAAACAAGAATACTGCAGATATCTGGAAAGCGTTTTGCAAACTTGCACAGCATACCTGCAAAATTGTAGACCTCTAGCTGTTTCTATGGTCAACGCTTTAAGGCATTTTAAGTTGCAACTCACCCATATTAATAATAAACTTTCTGATAATGAGAAAAAGGCCATGTTAATAGAAGTGATTGAAATTTATATAAATGATGATATTAAGAAAGCTGGAGACGCGATCAGTTTGAGGGTGAATGAAAAAATTAATAAAAGTGGGGATGTTATTCTTACATATGGATGGTAAGTTCTTAAAATTACTCTATTAAGTAATAATTGTTAAATAAAAACTTTTTACTTGTGTTATGATTTCTTCATTCATTTGGTATAATTTTTGCATGTTTAATAGGCTTATTTTAAATTTAACAATAAAAATCGTGGAGTGGAGTTTTGTTTATTTATGGGGGCCACTGTTAATTGGGAGTTAGGAGAAAAATATGAAACAATAGCTTCTCTGGAAAATGGTTTGTGATTCTATTTTAATTAGGTATATTAATTAACTTTTATAAATGGTTATTAATTTTAAGAAAAAGCCTAGAGACGTATTTTAGCTTTGAATAAAATTATTGCTTTACTTAACAAGTTTTTGTCTGATAGAAAAGTGGCCACCACATTATTGTTAATTCTTCATTAATTTACCATGTACAGTTACCTGTTTTCTAAAATTTAACATCTGTCAAACGGTTTTAACCTGACCTCCTACTTCTTATTTATTTATTTTTTATAAGTAATCTTTATAATAATAATAATCATTATAGTCGCCTGTTTTTTAAAATCTCACGTCAACTTTTGAGTTTAAAAAATATGTATTATAATTCAAATTTGTTAAAAAAAATTGCAAATTTTTTTACATGTTGTCCGCAAAGAAAGTTTAATGGCTAAAATCTCACGTGAGGGATAGGGGGGTCTACCACATGTCACCAAATCTCCAATATATTTACAAAACTTCTTGAATAAGACATTTTTTTAAATAAATCTTTTAGCTCATCTCTGATAAGAAAAATCCTTCTGGAGGCCCATTCCGAGGGCAAAGATTTCGAAGTGATCGTAGCGGACGGGCGCCCCCTGCTGGAGGGTCGCGAACTGCTGCGACGCTTGGTGCAAGCCGGCATCAGGTGCTCCTACGTCCTGATCAACTCGCTCAGCTGCGTCATGGGCAACGTAACGAAGGTGCTGCTCGGCGCGCACGCGCTGCTCACCAACGGTTACGTGATGTCGCGCATAGGCACCGCACAGGTGGCGCTGGTGGCGAACGCCTTCAACAAGCCGGTGCTGGTTTGCTGCGAGACCTACAAGTTTTCCGAGAAAGTGCAAACCGACTCCTTTGTACACAACGAAATAGGTAAAATTAAAAATACCATGCAATTGGAGTTGTAGCTCTGCTTCATAGGCAAAGTCGGCAAGCAACAACAAAAATATTAAAGTTGTTTGTATTTTTTAAACAGTGCTAAAACAAAAACATTTTTGATATTTTTGTTGCTCCATTGGCAATCATAAGATTTTTTTATTGTTTTTTTACCTTCTACTATTAAAAGTTTTAACTTGGCATGGGGCCTCTGGACTAGGGTTTTAAAGTGTCTGAGAAAAACCGGAAAATTGGAAAAAAAACTATTTTTTTCCAGGCCTTGGAAAAATTGAAGTTTTTTAACAACCTAACATTATTTTAAATAATAAAAATTCTTTATTACAAAAAACATAAAACTAAACATTAAATTAAATTTAAGAAAATAAACGTAAACGTGAAATACCAACTATCTGTTGGGTTTTTTTGTTGAAAAAAGGAGTCCATTAAAAATATTTAACTACAAAATAATGAATGATTTATAAAGTTAAATTACAAAGTTATAATTTTATAATTTGAAGTGTTAAATAAAAGTTATGTTAATATAGCACCGAATATGTTTTATTTGGGTTGAGTAAAATAGAAGGAATAATTATTATAATCAACGTCGGAAATTCACTTTTTTCTCGATATCAGTGTCCGGAAATATCCGTAAAAATTTGTAAATTTTCAAAAAAATTGACTTTTGCATTTTTTCGTGTTACCCTTTGAATAAAATTTAGAAAATTAAAGTCAATTTTTCGAAAAAAAATTCCGTTTTTCCCGAAAAAAACCGGTTTTTTTCTGCCGGCTCAATTTTTCCGGAAATTTTAGAACCCTACTCTGGACACAGTTATAATAAATTTTCATTTTCCATGACACATTTAAACTAACTTAAAAACCTATTGTATCAGGGCTCCCACACCTCCTAAAACTCATAAAATTACTAAAATTTGGCTTAAATCCTAAAAACTCCTAAAATTGCCATCAATCTCCTAAAACTCCTAAAAATTAAATATAAATAGGTCAACCTGACTGCATGCTAAAAAATTTCTTTTTTTTAAAGTAATTAAAAAAAATATATTTTTTAGGTTCTATGTAGTTTATTAAATTCTTTTTAAAATGATATATATATATTATATATATATCACAACCTACATTTTTCTTAAAAAACAACAAAATATACCTAAAAAACAAAATCCATGTCCAGTTGCTCCTAAACTTCTACAAAATTGTCATTTTTAGCCATATTTCCTTTGTTTTCTACAAAATTATACCGTGTTATTTATCAAACAAAAGGATTTTTAATTTTCTTTTAAATGATAGTAAACAATCTAAAGAATGTTTTTTTGTATTATGAGAATTTTGAGTAACAAGATCCACATTACAATTATTGTTAGTTATTAACTAAACGGTTAAACATTTTTTCCTAAAAAAATAAATATAGCATTTTCGACGCGTTTTTTTAAATAAAAATGTGGTGAAATTTCTACTTGTGTATATATATAGTATAGTATAGGTATACCTACTTCAGATATATACAAAAGTAGTAATTTTACCTCACTTTTAATTTTATTAAAAAAAAAACTCGTCGAGCGATTTGGCTAAAAAATTAGTCAATGTTACCTATTTGTACAAAAGAAGTGATATTTGTTTACATTTGTGTTACAAATAATTATTTATTTTTTTCTTATTTTTTAAGTACAGTGTAGAGTTGTTTTTATTTAATTTAATTACATAAATTCAGTTGAATCATTTATTTCTCCTAAAATTCTCCAAAAAACCTAAAATCCTAAATAAAATTTTTAATTTAGCCGTGGGACCCCTGTTGTATCCACGCTGTATCGTTTAACAAATAAAATTATGCCTTGAAGATAAAATGTATGCCATGCGGCTAAGAAGTGTATTTTCGTGCTTTGCTCAATTGCAGACCCCCTCTACACGTCGGCCTTCAAACTTTGAGCTCAGCACAAAAAGACTCACTTCTCAATGACATATTTTGTATAAGTTTTTTATTTGCCATAGATAAAAACCTGTATATACCAAAATTTTATGCACTAGAGTAAACAGGCCAAATTATGTATTTATTTGATTCTTACAAAAGTCTTAAATTTTTCAAATACTTTTTTGATGATTTTTGTCAAAAAATTGCAAGATAAAAGTCCTTGAGTGCTAAATACAATTTTTTTATAATGTACTCAAATACATTTTACAGTTTTGCCAAAAAAACAATATTTGGGTTCTACAAACAAGAAATAAAAAACAAAAATTGCCATTAATATGTTATTTCGTTTATACTCTAAAATACATCAGTTATGGGCCATAACTAGTTAGTTAGTCATAATTTACGTTTATATAATTTCATAATATACCTATACATGGTGTCCTAGAAATCGTGCACCACTTTGAAGTTTTATGATCTATTGACTCCCAGGAATCCCAAAAAATTGATAAACAATCTACCATCGGTATTTAGAAAGATATTTTTTTAAATGGCAACACTGCGTACTAATAAATTGGTAGATTATGACAACAAACAACAATATTAAAAATTGTCAAATTCGTTACTTTTATTTATTTTACGTCAGACTTGACAGAAGCAAATACAAGAAGTCCCTGTCAGGAACTAATAAAACCATAGATTAAATTCATGTAGAAAAACTAAACAAATATTAACATTAAATTGGCACACAAACAGGCTCTTAAATGACCTGCATGTTTTAAGCATTCTCCAAACACAACATACATACTAGTAAGTATTCACCGAGGTATTCACTAAAGGAATAAATATCAATATTTAACAGAAATGCCATGACAGAATCTAATTTTGAATTTTAACTGTCAATCATTGTCTATGGTGTGATGCATAGATAACAAAGCCTGTGGTGTGATGTCAACAAAAAACAATCAATTAACCAATGTACCTATACTACAGTCAACACTGATTCTAGTTGCTAACGTTATAGTAAAAATCATAAAATGCAATTTTTTATAAGATGAAAAATTCATTCCTAATAAAACCATTGTTTAAACATTCTGTACATTAAACCTAATCCATATATTCTAGAGTACCTAATGTATTAATACTAATTAGCAATGGATTTCTTTAGGTAAAACCTAGGTGCCATAACAACATTAATATACCTATATTTGCATAAAGATTATTCTATTGATCAAATTACTTTGGTATATTGATCAATTGAAATAACATTATAAAATCCATAACACTACAACATTTTTTGTATGTTTTATAGTTTTAATTTGCTTTTGGTAAGATATTGAAAATTTTAGGTCCTATGTAAGTAACAAATTAAGTTTATGTTGTAACTTAAAGGTATTTTAACTTTGGTCTTTTCTACCATAGGTATCATACATATGTATATGATTTATACAATTTAACTGGGTTTGATTATAATGTTAATAATACTAAATTGCAAGTAGTACCTACCTAGTGCTTGATTTTAAGCCTAGAATTATATTTTTTCAGGTGACGAAAATGCTCTTTCAAAAATCGACACAGCTCAGGATCAGAGTCCTTTGATAGCTTTCAAAGAAAACAGTAAACTCATGCCATTGACTTTGTTATATGATGTAACGCCTCCAGATATGGTTACTGCAGTTGTTACAGAATTGGCCATTTTACCATGCACAAGTGTACCAGTTGTACTCAGAATTAACGCAAATGAAGTAAATTGAAATCTGTATATAAAAAATTATAAATAAATGCCTTTTACATGATACTGTTTTATATTTTTAATGGTAATAATGTGTCAATCAATATAAATAGTAATACTACTTATGAAAACATTAATTTGGGTGATATTTTTATCGTCTAACTACTCTACGTAGAGTACTTTGTATTTTTAATTATTTACAAAAGTAGGCCCCTATTTTAATTAAAAATGATAATCATAATAAACTTTTGTGAAATAATTGATTATGTTTAGATAAAATTTAAAACATGATAGCAACATTTGATAAAATAAATGCATATGCAACTAAAATGATTTTTTTTAAATTTAGGCCTATAAAGTTGCGTATACAGGTAATATAAAAAATATTAATACTTTGCACAGACCACAGCTCTGCACAGGTATTTGATTTTTACCACAATTTTTAAAATTCAGATAGGTAGCTTTAAATAAAATGAGGTGCATATGCAATTGAAAAAACAAATCAAAATATTTACCTAGTTCCTTACTTAAATTTACTTGGAATAAGGCAAGTGAAAACTTTATTATGATTTACCTATCAGGTGGCATAGGTATTATTATTTACCAGACTATAAATAAAAGTGCGCAAAATAAATGTGGCGCTTTTTTATTTAATTATATAGCTAATATTTATGTTTAGTATAAAATATTAAAGTTATTTAAGGAAAACCATCTCACCTTCGCTTTTATTTAAAATAAAATAAAATTAACTGATAAAATTGTGGCAACTTTATCGTTTGACCATGAAAAAAGTTCTTTGTTTCAACGATAGGGATTTGTAAACAATCGGCTCTGAAACTCGTAAAAATGGTTAAATAGGGCCTTAGACTTACGGCTTTCGGTTTATTTATTTACTATTTAAAAAATTAGCTAACATAGCGTAATATTATCTTATCTTTCAAGTTAATTTCTACATAAAGGTCCTCCATCGGGCGTTTCCGAGTCTTCGGGTCGTGACGTCACAAGTGACGACGGACGCTGCGTCACTTGGTTTCTTCCGGAAGATTGTAGCCAGTGGAAAGCAAGTATTAGATCACGTGGTCGGCGTAGGCCAATAAGGTGCGCGCAAGGATTTAATAGACAGAACATTTCTGACAAGCGTAGAAAAACTTTCATCAACAGCCGCCATATTGCCAGTTCGTGGTCGCGTAGAATTTCGTATGAATTTCTTACATTGTAGTGCCGTATGTAAATTAAAGGGGTCTTGTATGGGCATATGTGCGGTTATATATTGAATTAGTGGATTGAAACTGGCAATGTTTGTTAAAAAAGTGTGTAAAAGTGTGAAACTGGAGTGATTAAAGTTTGAGATCATTGTGCGGTTCTGACGGAAGATGGTGAGAGGCAGTCGCGAAGTATCGGACTAGTCGAAGTTCATTATGGCCGATGGTTGACTGTTATTTGATAAATATGTGCCTTGGGAGATGCATCGACTGCCGAACACTCGGTACATCGACTGTTTGGAGTCGCTTCTTTCATATTTTCGCATATAAATCATGTGTTTTGTGCGAAAATTGCGATAAATAGTGCATTAAAGTGCAGTTAGTGCGGTCGGCCGCAGCATTGGGCCAGTGCTTCGGCTAAGGCTTTGGCTTGGTAAACACTTGGTAAACACCGCCGATTTTGCTATGGCCGATCATCTCGTTGATGGCCCGCCGAATGCCAAACGGCAGAAGCTCGAGTCCTTTCAGGGACCATCGGACTCTGGTAAGTACTTCGAAAAATCCGTCAATAAACATTTTCTATTTTCTATTTGTATACCAACCAAGCATGTTCCGAGTGAACGCGGGAGAGCCATTCTTACGTTTGACATCTTGACAAACATCAAACCTACTTTATAAACATTTATCCTCAAACAGCTGTTTGGGCTCAAAAATGCTCCCGATTCTAGGGCTTATTACACGAATTGAGCAAAAACGCGACTTGGAATCAATGCGAGTGGACGTCTCTCGCAATCATAACAAACCAAATTAGTGTCATGTTTGTAAACGTTTTAGTTGTAAACACTACTGCTCTTGAACTCTGCATGAAATGCCGAACAGTGTTCTTTCTGCATGAGCCTTTTCTTAAAAGTACAATACAACACCGTGCATAGGCCTAATGTTTTATAAACTTATAAATACATAACCCTAAAAGCAACTTTAAGCTCAATAATAAAAAGCGCGTCCAAACTAATACAAACCCTCAGGTTATAACAAAAGGGTTGACTTTGAAACAGGTTCTTTTAACTTGTTTGTATGCTATCAGCTTGGTTTCATATCTAGACTTACTCCAGACAAGGGGTTTTTATAAATTATTCTCAAGATACTGATGCTAGCTTATAAAATTTTATTTAACCATCCAGCAAAAATAATTCGCGTTAGCAGTAGTTTAATATTACCCAAAATCTACAAACACTTAAAATAACAGCCCCTACACTTGTAAGGCTTTAGCAGGGGATTTTAAGTGTCTGTTGATAAAGGGCTGTTTTGGTTAATTGGTAATTTGTTTATGCTTAATGATAGCTTACAACAACAACTACGGTATGGGTCCCTCTCAGGCCCTTTCAACCTCAATGGGTGATGGTATTTCCAATCCGAGGCACCAATGGAATTATAGCCACCAACAAAGTAAATACACAATTAATTCAGAAATTAATAAATAATCCACTTACTAACAACACTTATACAAAAAATCTATCAAAAATTGTAGGAAATCTTGGTTCTTCTGTGCTCCATTTATTTTTTTAGTATCACATCATGTTTTTCATTCAGATTTCATTCATAATTTTTGGTATCAATTTTGTTCAAGTGAAATTTAATAGCTTATGCTCTGAAAATAGTAGCACCGTGATGATTGAAGTAACTTTGACTGGATCATGATATAAATATTTATATCATGGACTGGACATTGTTTTTATTATTATAATAGTCCTGTACATACTTAATTATCTCACATTATGCATGATTCTGCTTACAAACAGATTGCTTGATAAAATTTTTGATGAAGAGAACAAATCATTTAATTTTTTAAATGGATTTTCAAAGAAATGTTGCTTTAAGTACATCCCATTTAAATCCCATTTTCATTGCATATAATCAAATTATAAAATATGTAGGTACAGTGAAAGTTCCCTATTGCAGACAACTCCCAAAACCAGACAATTTTTCTGGAACCATTTTTTCCCATTGTACTTTTTTTTAACACTAGGGTGGAGTGAAATACATGATGGTAACCATTTATGTTGGAGGGTCCTATTACCACAACTAAAAAATATTGATCAGGCAATGTTTGGAGGTTCCGCACCTTTTTGAAGTTCAGAAGATTAAATCTGCACAAGGTGGAGACCCTTCAAACAGTGTCCGATCTAAATTATCTTTTTTGTTCATTAATTGTGATAATAGTTCACCACTTTTCCCAATATAGGCGTATTAAATAATGTATTTTGTCCAGCTAATATAGGCATATTAAATGGTTACTATCATGTATTTCACTCCACTCTAGCGGACACCTCTCATAAGCTTACAGAAGTGTTGGAACAGTGAGTGACTGCTTATTAGAGCTTTCACTGTATGTATATTCTTCCCCTGTATGTTGGTAGTTGTCTTATGTTTTATGAAACATTGTCAAAAACAATAGGTAAACTGTTTGTTGTGTTTGCTAGATGTGTTTTCAAACATGGACATGTTGGATTTGGAGAATGACCTGCCAGATGAACTTAATTCCCTAACATATAATATGGGCAATTCCCTAATGTCAGACAATATGGGCAACTCCAAACCACCTGCCCAAGGTCCGGGCCCTGGTAACATGCAGAATGGCTTAGATGCCAATGAAACCAATAATTTAAGGCAAATGCAAATCAATCTTCTTCAACAGGTAAACTAACATGTTAAATGAGAAAATTATGGTTTTATTGTTGGTGTTTTTTAGAAACAAGGTTTGGTGGGCAATCCATTGGGTATGGCTGGTGCACAATTAGGCAATAAAAGCCCCAACCTGCAATCGCCGCCCAACGTGTCAGTCGCCAAGGGCAACGTTGTAGACCAACTGAATTTAGGTAGTTTACCATCTAGTATCACCAATAACGCTGGACTACAGTCAATAGCTAATAACGGTAGTTCTCCGCAAGTTATGAGCTCTATTCAAGGTAGAATCAGATAAAAAAATTACAATGATTGCATTCTAAATTTGATTTGCTTTTTTTGCAGGTATTAATAATAGTGCAGGGGGTAACATGATAATGACTAATAGCAATATGAATACACTTGGAGGTATGGCTGGAGGAGGTTTGGTTGTTAGTAGTAGTGTAAATAAACCATTGACCAATGCTTCCGGTATGTTAGCGCCTGGGCAGCCTCATCATCCCGGTAATCATCCAGTACCTCAGGTAATACACGATATTCATAAAGTGCAAAGGACGAAATAATAATATGTGCACTGTAAAATAGGGCCTTCAAAACGGACCGATGTTAAACCGAATCCACTCGCCGTTCAACCAGAGGATACCCGGACCGCACGTTCACATAGGCGGTCAACGACTCGCCGCCCCCGGCTCCATGATAGGTGGAGGCGGCGGCCCCGTGAACGCGCCGTTTTCCTACCAGAAAGGCGGCGCCGGTCCACAGGGCGCGAACTGCAACATAGGACGGATGGTGCCGCAGCAGCAGCAGCAGCAGCAACAGCCGGAACCTTGCACCAGGTTCGGTGCTCCGGCCGCTGGCCCGGGGGTTCCCACTGGGCTGGGCGGAGAGGGCGGCATGGTGCAGACTCAACCTCCTGCGCCGTCGCCCGCCCAACCGCAATCCGGAGCGCCCGCAGGCAGTCAGCCGGGGCCTCAGCAAGCCACGCAAAACCCACCACCTTCGACGGGTAAGTGCCCTAATTTACCTAATTTAATGTCAAAATTTCTCCAATTTTCTTCATAACAACTAGAGATGTAAAAAACGGTTTTTTTTGAGATGTGAAAAAAAACCTAGAAAAAAACGGTTTTTTTTTGTTTTTTTTTTAATGAAATTTTGAGTAAAATGTAGAATATATTACATTTTTCATTATTGAAAATTTTCACCAAGACTAAAAAATTAAGGGATACAATTTTTTTGCGTTTTTTCGGATAGCTGTATCTTTGTTAAAAATGGTCGTATTGGAGCCGTAAAAAAAGCAATTTGAAGCTTGAAGTTTATAGTTTTGATATTTTTAGATGAAAAACGTGCAACGCTCAATTCTAACGAATACCGTAATCAAAAAATCGATTTTTTTTGGTCCACGGAATGTTCTGACTTAACCACCAGTGAATAAATGTTCTACAAGAATTTGCTATTGTTTTTTGAGAAAAAAAATCCACACTCTACATAAATTTGAAAAATCATGGAAAAAGTGCTTTTGGTAGCTTTTTGAAAAATCAAACGCTGAATCAAAAATATTATATGTAGTTACTTTTTTTTAGGACTAAATCAAAACAAGCGCGGCATAGCGCGAGACTGAATTTACATTTACTAATTGTAATTTAGTGGCTAATTTTAGTTCATGGAAACATAAAAAATTAGGCAAACGGGACTAATTTTGAAAAAAACCTAAAATGTGAAAAAAAACCATTTGAAAAAAAAACAATGAAAAAAAACCTGAAACAAAAAACAAAAAAAAACAGACCGTTTTTTATTTCAAGTCGCATCTCTAAAAACAACCTTTAACATTCTACTTTTATAATGTACAGTTGGTGACCATAATATTATTATAAACAGCTCAAATTAAACTACTTAAAAAATCATCTAGAAAAGTTTTCCCCAAATTTGGTCGAAAAAGCTCCACTCGGTCGAAAAGTAAATAACCGAAATTAAACAAAAAAAACGGAAATCGCTTACTTTTCGAACGAATGGAAATTTTTCGACCGAATTTGGAGAAAAGTTGCTTTAGGACGATAGTTCGACCTTTAACGATTGTTTTTCATTTTTTTAACTGCCTTAATTTGAGGTATTTAATAAATACTATTTATAATATGGCCAACCTCTATAAGTAGTTATTTTTTTTAATTAAATCATAATGCACGGTTCCCAAACGATTAATAAATGAAGGGATAAGAAGCAAAACCCCTTAAATAGGTTAAGTATTGTGAGCGAGGCGTAGCGAGGGTTTCGATTATGAGGATGGGGTAATTTTCATTAAAATGTCGACTTTAATTTAATGTTAAAATTTCTCTAATTTTGCTCATAACAACCTTTAACATCTTACTTTTATAATGTACAGTGGGTGTAAACACCTCAAATTAAACTACTACAAAAATCATCTCGAGAGGAGGGGGGTAATTTTCATTTAAATGTTGACATTTTCGAAGATTTTGGCGACTTTTGGCGTAGCTAGAACATTTTTTGGCCGGGGCCAAAAATAATCCACTATACGAATTTTGTTAAATGTATGAATTTTCAAAATTTAGGCTCAATTTAACAGAAATAGTAGGCTTCAATTTGATTGACGCTTGAATCACTCGGAAATGCAATGCAAATGCATGTCCTATTGGACTGATATATTATTTTTGCACTGAACAGATTGCTTTATCAGAAAAATGCTGTTTTGCTTCTAATTCCTTCAAATGTTATTGTGATTGTTCTGAAACGCAAGTGCATGAAAAACACAATTTTAAGTTGCGCCAAACCATAAATCTGTTAGCAGACCCTGAAAAGCGCAAGCTGATTCAGCAACAGCTGGTGCTACTGCTGCACGCGCACAAGTGTCAGCGCCGTGAAACGTCGCAAGCCAACGGGGAGGTGTGGAATTGCACCCTGCCACACTGCAAGACGATGAAGAACGTCCTCAACCATATGACCACATGTAACGCGGGCAAATCCTGCTCGGTTGCCCATTGTAGTTCGTCGCGGCAGATCATCAGTCATTGGAAGAACTGCATAAGAACGGATTGTCCTGTGTGTTTGCCTCTTAAACAGGCCGACAAAAATAGAAACAATCCCAATGGTAAGTTGTCGTTTTTATATTTTTTGCGTTAGATTTCAACTAAGATATACAAGAGTGCGTAAAAAAGTTTACAAATTAGAATTCTATGTAACCAAAAGGTTTCTAGAGTAAATGGATTGTTATTGAGGGAGAAAAGATTACAGTAACTGTAGGGTTACCCCAGGGATCTTTTTGTGCCCATTACTTTTCTTTTGCCACACCATAATACCTTTACTTTGTAAACATATATCATATATAATAAAAAACTTGAAAACAGTAGTGCCTCAGAAAGTTAGTGTCTTGTTACCATTACTTATGCCATACTTTATTACAGCAATACCTAAAGTGGGTTCTGTGGAACTCAAAGGTTCTGTGAGAAATTTGCCTCAATATTTTATTCAACAACCATAATTTAATTTAAAGTCAATTTTATTTGATATTTTATATGACATCTCAATCAATTAGTTTTAACCTCACTTTTAAAAGGCCTTAACAAATGCGAGCCAAACACTGCGAGAAATTTCTTAGTCTGTTTGGCCTACTTTCATTTAGCATTGGGTCTGTTTAGGCTGAAAGCGTTGACATAAAAATTGTTGCACTATGTTATCAAGTTGTTTCGTTTAACAGCAGCAGCAGCGGCCGCGGCGGCAGCAGCAGCGGCGGCATCGAACCCGCCACAAAATAACCAGTCTCCCAATCAATCGGCAACCGATATGCGTCGGGCGTACGAAGCGCTGGGCATCCAGTGTCCGACGAGCGGTGCCGGTCCAACGCCACCCGGCCTAATACCCAATCCTGGGCAGCCCCGGCCACAGCTGCGCTCTCTGCCTGGCGGGCCCGCCATACCAAACTTGAACGCCAACATGGCGGGCGCCCGAGTGCTCGTGCCTCCAGGTCCAAACACGCCAACAGCCTCGTTACCTCTCGGTAGCGATCCGGCGTCGCAGGCGGCCCAGGGCATCGCCAGCCAAGCCCAAGCGCTACAGCAACAAACAGTCAACACGGTCATGTTCGGTTTGGCAAGCAGCGCGGAAGCCGCCTCGCAAGGCCTAGTCAATTCGGCGGGCGGTCTGCAAGCAGGACAAGTGACCGCGTCGCCTGTGACGGGAACGAAAGAATGGCACCAGAGCGTCACGCCTGATCTTCGGAACCATCTCGTTCACAAACTGGTGCAGGCAATATTTCCAACTCCCGATCCGCAGGCTTTGCTCGACAAGAGGATGCACAACTTGGTCGCGTACGCGCGAAAGGTAGAAGGCGACATGTACGAAATGGCCAACTCGCGATCCGAATACTATCACCTGTTGGCAGAGAAAATATACAAGATTCAGAAAGAACTGGAAGAAAAGAGGCAGAAGCGAAAGGAGTTGCAGCTCCAGCAGCAACAAACCACCAATCCCCAAATCAGACCGAACCTGCAAGTCGGCGGCGGACCAAGACCCGGCGGACCTGGAAACATGATTCCGCAACATCCACAACCATGCGGTTCTCCGTCGTCGCTGGTCCCTGCCAGTCTAAATTCAGGTCTTGGTGGCGTCTTGAACAATTCGGGGATAAGAATGTTCAATTTACAGCAACAAAATCAACAAAACACGCAGCCAAATACGCAACAAGGTGGTCTCCAGCAGGTTCCGCAGATGCAGCAGCAGCAGCAGCAGCAGCAAACGGTGGGTCTGCCGGGACCGAGTCCCACGCATTCGAATCCAGGATTGTCGCCGTTCGGCGGCAACCCTCTGTCGCAAGGCAGCACCAGCGGACCGGCGACGAACACCGGCGGCGGCGGCCCGTTCCCTCCGACGAGCAACGGTTCCGTCAGTCTGCCGCAAGCGTCGCCGGCCGGCGGCGGCGGCGGCGGCCAACCCAACTTTGGCGACATGATCAAGAATCGGATGGCGCCGTCGCCCAGCTTCCAAGTGCAGACGCCGCTCTCGCAGCAATCTCAAACGGGTGGTCAGGTGAACGCAACGAACGGCTCCATCGGCGGAAGAGTGCCGCCCAACAGCAGCACCGAGAACGCCACGACGCCTCAAGAATCGCAGCAGCAGTCCAGCCAGCAGGCGATGGCCGGACCGAAATCGGTCAGTTCGTCGCGGGGCCCGTCTCCCGTGGCGCCGCCCACCCCCGTTCAAGCGTCGCCTGCGCCTCAGGCCAGCATGGGCAAAGGCATGAGCAGTGCGGAGCGGGCGGCGCAGAACGCGCCCAGGTCCCTCTCTCACACCTCGCAAATGGGAGCCATCTTGGCGGCGGCGGACAGAGACGAGGACTCGCCGTCGCCACCCTCGGGCGGCACCAAAGGCAAACTCGACCAAATCAAAATGGAACCGATGGAAGTTAAGCAGGAAGATGGCGAGCACAACGACAGCCACGGCGATTCCATGGGCGGCGGCAAGAACATCAAGAGCGAAATGAAGAGCGAAAACAAGCAGGAAATCAAAAGCGAACCGATGGACGAGGGCGAAGGGAACGCCAACGCCATCAAGGACGAAATGCAAATCAAAAAGGAAGAAGGCGCCGAAGGTTCCGGCTCCGATATCAAACCTCAAATCCTACCGGACGGTTCTATTGCGCAGATGGGCGACGCCAAGGGCAAACCAAAATGCAGTAAGTTTTTCCCACATCATCATCAAAACTAACATAGCAAAACTAACATTACTTCTCTCTCTCATTTCAGTCATCAAACCGGACGAGATCAGGCAGAAGCTGATGCCGACTTTGGAAAAACTGTTCCGTCAAGATCCGGAATCGATTCCGTTCCGACAGCCGGTCGATCCGCAAACGCTCGGCATTCCCGACTATTTCGACATCGTGCGCCGGCCCATGGACCTGTCCACGATCAAGCGCAAGCTCGACATCGGCCAATACGGCGATCCTTGGGAATACGTCGACGACGTGTGGCTAATGTTCGACAACGCGTGGCTTTACAACAGAAAAACCAGCAGAGTCTACCGATACTGCACCAAGGTGAGTGCGATTTTTTTGTTTTCTGCTCTTCTCTTTAGACTTTCGGTGCATTCAACATACTGCATATATTCTGTTGCTTTACTTAGGCTTAAATTTGTAATTTTATCTTTTCCAAAAATAGTCCCAAACATCTAAAATTGTTTATTAACGATGTGTAAATGTGCAAAACTCTCAATTTGTTTGTAGTTGAGCGAAGTCTTCGAGCAAGAGATCGACCCTGTTATGCAGAGCATGGGCTACTGCTGCGGCAGAAAGTACACGTTCAATCCTCAGGTGTTGTGCTGCTACGGCAAACAATTGTGCACGATACCGCGGGACGCGAAATACTACAGCTATCAGAACAGCCTGAAAGCGTACGGCTTGGGATCCGACCGATACACCTTCTGTCAGAAGTGTTTCAACGATATCCAAGGCGATACCGTCACGTTAGGAGACGATCCCACACAAACGCAAACGTAAGTTTTTCAATCATTTATTGTATTTTAATCTGTTATTATTTTATTAATATTTTTTAACAAACGGTTGGGTCTTTTAACGGCCATAAGATCTTTTGGTTATTTATTAAGTTACTTTGGGGACCAACTTAAATCCCTTAATATATGAAATCTATGTTCTTGCATTACACTTTCTCGTAGGTAGGAGTTGCCTTACCAAACGATTTTTTCTTTTTGCGAGAAAGTTTCGTACTCCACCAAGAAATGATGATTCTTGACTTTGTTACAGAGTCTATATGAATCATTATTAACCTTTTCTAATCAGTTAATAAAAATTATGATTTTAATCAGGAATTTCGAATAAAGTCGAAAATTAAAAAATTAGCCTTTTATCAAGATATTTTATTGTTAAAACAAAACATCTCTTTGTAGAATCCATATCTATTGATGTAATTGGATGATTAGTATTAGATATCCAACAATGTGTTGGTACAACTATTTAAAAATTCTGAGGGTCGGTTTTTCAATTGCTGGTTAAGTTTATCTGGCAGATAATTTTATTAGAAAGATTGATAAAACAATGGTATCCAAGTTTTATGTCAAATAAACTAACTGGAACTTGATAAACCATTGTAAATAATAAAATATTTGTTAGGTCGGTTAAATTAGCAAATTGGTAGCATTTTTTATTCTAGTTAAAATGGTAAAAATAGAAAAACAATTGATGTTGAATTTCTGAAATATTGACAAAAATGACATTTTTTTATACTCTTCCATACATATTTTGAAAGAATTTAATTTTTAACAAAAAAATATTGCAAAAATACCTTAAACTTAAAAATAAACAATGATTAAGCACTTTTTCAATAATAATTGTTTTTTCCAAATTAAGTTGTCTTCAAATATGTAAAAATTTGCCATTTAAAAAAATGTTTTTTTGTTAATATTTCGGAAACCCGACCTGTTTTTCTGTTTTCACCATTTTAATCAGAATAGAAAATGCCACTAATTTGCTAATTTATTAAACTTTGTACCTTCAATAATAACGGAGTTAGCATTGGTGAGCAAGAAACTTGGGACACAGTGTATAATAAAAAAAATCCTACCAATAAGTAATGTTAAAGAATATTACCATGAACCACAGAATTCTAAATTTATTGGAATTACTTATAATATTTTACTTAAATATATCTCAAAATTAAGTAATTTTAGAAAAAATAATTATATTAAGTAAATTTGAATATAAATGAGAAAAATTGCTTCAGTTAGTTAAGTTACTTCGCATTTTGGAAAAAAAGTGCTGTACTTTTTTGCACTGAAAATTGCTCTGTTGGTCATGTAATTTTTCCTTGCAGCGCAATAAAAAAAGACATGTTCAAAGAGATGAAGAACGACCATCTGGAGATGGAGGCGTTCGTGCTTTGCCAAGAGTGCGGTCGCAAGCTTCATCAGATCTGCGTGCTTCATCACGAGGCGATATGGAATCAGGGATTCACTTGCGAGAGTTGTCACCAGAAGAAAGGTTCAAAGAGAAGGGAGAACCGATTCAACGCTAAAAGGCTGCCCGTCACCAACTTGGGCATGTACATTGAGAATAGGGTGAGTGGAATGCATTTTTTATTATCTAAATATTTTTACTTCCCTTGGTAAAAGTATATTTAAATTAATAATAATTTTAACCTTATTGACGATGTTTTGAACAATTATGTAATGTGTTTAAAAAAATCTGTGTAAACATTGAACTTGGTTTTTCATGAGTTAAGTCACATTTGGAAATAGGCCAAAAAGTATTATAAAATTGGTAATAAGGAAACACTACATAAATTAAATAATTTGATAATTAAAAAAATTGAAATATCATAAAATGTATTTAATAGAAAAAAAAAGTAGTAAATGAGTACCAAATTTTCTCGCCATACCAAGTATATAAATATTTATTTCTTACTAAACAGTTTACTCTAAACTTAAGCATGTTTTTGATACATTTTATATCATAAAATGGGATAAATTTTATATAAAAAATCACAAAATATTTTATTTTTGTTATTTTAGTAAGACAATTTATCAACAAAAGAAGTTAAAAAAGTTTACAGAGTTATGACTTTTGGTTTGTTTCCATAACAACCTTTAATTCATCTTATATATACACACATACTGTGTTGTCAATAAGGTTACCAGATGTGTTGAATTAAAAACTGGAGAAGTTAAAAAAATATTCCATAATTTTAACAATAGTATTAAAAAGCTTTAAATTATTAATATGGCAATTTTTTTTATTTGCTCTGGATATTACATAAAAAAAACTAAGTAAGCCAGGACTTAATCATGTTAAGCTTTAATAAGAGTGGGAAATATAGGCAACAAATTTTTAGTGTTTTAAAAAAGTGGACATTATACAGTTTGGCTCTGGATTACAGATATTTTTTATTTAATCTTAAATTTAATCTTACTTTCGGTAAAAAAAAGTCGCCTGTAGGTTGGACAGTCTATCACAGATTGCTCTGTTGGGAAACCAACAACATAAAAATACAAAATAATAGGTATTAATTAAGTATCAGGTAGCGCTTCCTGACTCCAGCTGTAACTAGTTCGCGATGGGGTACTTAGGATCAGTTGTTAACAAGGCATAAGGCGATATGTCAAAACAATCAGTTTTTTCAATTTTTTAGTAGTGCCTTAAACGTGTTCGCATTAATTTAGGAAATAAATTTATGGTTAGCGGGTATATCCTACATGTCATATGCTAGCAAAAGGGGATGCTCGCTAACCACAAATATATTTCCTGAATTAATGCGAACGAACACGTTTAAGTCTCAACCGAAAAATTGCTTTTTTTGACTTATACCCACAGAACTGATACCGACTTGCAACCAGTAATATATTACTACTAGTAGAAAAAGCTCGGCTGAAAATACTAGGTATTAAAGTAACAGGTATTAGGAACAGGTATGGACTTTGACCTGTTATGCGACGTACCTGTTCCCAAAAAACTCTGATATGTATCATCTCTAAAATGTATTGTTGAGAATTGTTAAATTCACGCAATGCTATCGAAGTCCAGCAGATGGCTTGCGCGTTGCGAAAACCCGATACTTGTTTAGCGTATAGTTTTGTTGACAAGTGTTGTCGGTCTATTTTAGGTAAACATCTACCTGAAGAAGAAGGAAGCGGGCGCGGGCGACGTGTCGATTCGCGTCGTCTCGAGCAGCGAAAAGATGGTCGAGGTGAAGCCGGGCATGCGCGGCAAGTTCGTCGAGAGCGGCGAGCTGTCGAGCGAGTTCCCGTACCGCGCCAAGGCCCTCTTCGCCTTCGAAGAGATCGACGGCACGGACGTGTGCTTCTTCGGCATGCACGTGCAAGAGTACGGCTCGGAGTGTCCGGCGCCGAACACGCGGCGCGTCTACATCGCCTACCTCGACTCCGTGCACTTTTTCAAGCCGCGCCAGTTCAGGACGGCCGTCTACCACGAGATCCTGTTGGGTTACATGGACTACGTGAAGCAGCTGGGCTACACGATGGCGCACATCTGGGCCTGTCCGCCTTCCGAAGGCGACGACTACATCTTCCACTGTCATCCCAACGAGCAAAAGATTCCCAAACCCAAGAGACTGCAAGACTGGTATAAGAAGATGCTCGACAAGGGCATCATCGAACGAATAGTACTAGATTATAAGGATATTTTAAAACAAGCAATGGAAGATAACCTTAGATCAGCGGCGGACCTGCCTTACTTTGAGGGCGATTTCTGGCCTAACGTTTTAGAAGAGAGTATCAAAGAATTGGACCAAGAAGAGGAGGAGAAACGGAAACAGTTGGAAGCTGCCGAGGCCGCCGTAAGTACCCGCATCCAAAAATTTAAAAACAAAATTAATTTGTTTCTTCTTTCCTCATTTAGATCTTTATGTCGGAAGAGTGCGAGGTGGGGCCGGACGGCAAGAAAAAGGGTCAGAAGAAAGCGAAGAAGAGCACCAAATCGAAGGCGAACCAAAGAAAGAACAGCAAAAAATCGAACGCGCACGAAACCGGAAACGACCTGTCGGCAAAAATATTCGCCACCATGGAAAAGCACAAGGAGGTGTTCTTCGTCATTCGTCTGCATTCCGTTCAATCTGCAGCTAGTTTAAAAGTAAGTGCCAACATTTACTTAAATTTACTGATACATTTTTTGGATTTTAATCAACTTTTTAAACAGATTTAAGTATTATGTAAGCACTTTTTCTGACAAAGGAAGCAAGATAAAAAATTTTATTGGTCTTAATTTAGTTTTTTTAAATTTATTTCTTAATATTTAATACAAGTTTTAAAAAATATTCTTTTGGCTTATCATTTAGGGGGTTCACGATTTTCTTATTTTTGTTAATGACACAAAAAATGATTTAAGAACTAGATTAAATAAATTGATAAATCGATTTTTTTAAACTGTATATGGAATCACATTACACATTATTTCTTTTGTGATTTTTGAATTCATTTAAATTTATGCTTTCTTTAAAAAAAATAAATTTCAACTGTTATAAAAGTATTGGGTCAATATACACTTTTAATGGCCTGAAATGTAGAACAAGACGTTTTCTCAAATATATAAATAAACAAATATTCAATTTCGAAAATTTATGCCGTTTTTATAAACATAATTTATTTTTTTAAATTTTGACATGTTTTATTTCGGTTTTTAAAATCAAGGGTTAAACTACTGATTTTTAAAAATTAAGAATCGCCTACGAATTAACGTTGCTCTCCCTGATTTTAAAGTGGTTTACCCCTAGTATTTAGAACATTATAAACGAATTTTAATTGGAGGTTTCTTGATAGTTAATAATCGGCTGTCAAACGCAGTTTTTGTTCAATATACATACCTATTTGCAGTTTATTACTATTAAATGTTATTTTTTTTTTATTTCACCCATGCTCATTCAAAGTCATTTCGAATTCTAAAGTGTTTTTTTGTTATTTATATGTGTAGAACAAGATCTAATCTCAAACGTTTGCCAACAAAAATTAGGAATTTGTTGAAACTTAATCCATTTAAATTCAGAAAATTTCGTGCTGAAATAAAAAATTGGTTTGATGAAGGGAAAAAGTTTAGAATTTGAGCGAAATTTGTTGTGTAGCCAATCCAAGATCCAGATCCGTTCATCGCGTGCGATCTCATGGACGGTCGCGACGCGTTCCTGACGATGGCGCGCGAAAAGCACTACGAGTTCAGCAGCCTGCGTCGCGCCAAGTTCAGCACGATGTCGATGCTGTACGAGCTGCACAACCAAGGTCAGGACAAGTTCGTCTACACTTGCAACGAGTGCAAGGCGCACGTCGAGACGCGCTATCACTGCACCTTCTGCGAGGACTTCGATCTCTGCATTCAGTGCTACAAGAAGGTCGGACATCCGCATCCCATGGACAAGCTCGGCTTGGACATCGACGACGGAAGCTCGCCCGGCGGGAACGCCACCCCGCAGGAGCAAAGGAAGCTCTCCATCCAGGTTAGATATTTTTTTTTTGCTTTTTCCAGTATTAATAATTATTCATTTATGTTCTACAACTAGAATATTAACGGTTTCTAAAAAAAAAGTGAAAAATTGATTTTTTGGAGGATTTATTCATCAGTATCGTAAAATGCATTTTTTCACCAAAATAATTTGTTATTAAATAACATTTTAATAATAAAATTTATTACTTGGTTCTCACAAACTTGGGAAGAGGAAAAACCTGAAAATATGAGGGAATTTGGATATTGGTAAAAAAGTCAGGTAGTTTGTTGTCTAAAATTTCCTGTAGTGAAAGCAGCTTTTGCTTTTATTCCAAAACTTAGCATCAATCACAAATCTGGCAATATTAAAAATTTGCTACAAATAATTCATGACCTAAATCTGGTAAAGGCAGAATGTGCCAAGCAGGCTAAAACGCAATTTTCACATTTTGTAACTGCCAGACAAAAAAATAAGTCACTCTTTATTGGGCAGTTAAAAATATATTATGGACACTTTTCTGTTCATTATTGGGATTTATTTCAAAAACCTTTGGACTGTAACTAGAATCATTTTAATGTTAAGTCATCACAATGTAAGAGTAGAATGGGAATTTTCTATTAATAAAAAATTGTTATAATATGAGAAAAAGTTGTTTCCAAACTTTTGTGGGGGAATTTTTTGTTCAGGCAATCAAAGTGTTTTGATCTTTTCAGCGTTGCATCCAGTCGCTGGTGCACGCGTGCCAATGCAGAGACGCCAACTGTCGCCTGCCCAGCTGTCAGAAGATGAAGCGCGTCGTCAACCACACGAAACAGTGCAAACGGAAGACGAACGGCGGATGTCCCATCTGCAAGCAGCTCATCGCGCTGTGCTGCTATCACGCCAAACACTGCCAAGAAACCAAGTGTCCTGTGGTGAGTACCAAAACTACATTATTCATTATTATTTGTTATATTTTATCATTTAAAAGGATTTGGAAATATTAGTAAGTTTAAAGGTATTAAGATTGTACTTCTTTGTTAATAATGCTTTTTATCAATAAAAAATTGAATACAAGAAAGGAAGAGATACAAAATAAAGAAATTATTTTTTATTTATAAAACCATCTATAATAATTTTAAAGTATTTCATAATTTACTCAGAAATAGTACATAAGTACCTAAGCAGTAATATTAAGGATAATTCTAAACCATGGTGAATTTACTAAATAATATAAAATTATTAAAACATACATAGGTTATGGCAAGCCTTATTTACACAAATTTAATTTCAAATACATTTTAATTTATTTTTTATTTGAACGCATATTTTTTACCTTCAAATAATTTAGTTAAATTTTTATGATATCTTATAACAATTACATCAATTTTTCTAAAACAATACCTGAGGAATTAAAATTATGTTAAAGACCATTTTTATTCAGGCAAATTAAATAAGATTCAAATAAAAATTATAATATTTGTAGGCACACCTATTAAAACATAATTCATTGAATTAAAATTCAACATCAATACCTTTGCAATATTTATTTAATATTGTTTTCCATGATGTTAGATAAAAATTGTGTTGTTAAATGGTAAAACATTTCAGGATTTTAAAAATTTCACTTCCTTATAATTTATTTTAAACCTTTAAAGCATTAACTAAACTTTGGTAAATAAATTTAGTAGAATATTAAAAATGGTCGGTTGTAAAACAAAATAAATGGTGGCACTTTCGTTTCAGCCTTTCTGTTCGAACATAAAGCACAAGCTGAAGCAGCAACAGCTGCAACAGCGCCTGCAGCAAGCGCAACTTCTGCGACGTCGTATGGCGGTGATGACGCGCGGCGTCGCTCCCACGACGGTGAGCTCGATGCCTGGCGGCGGCAACAGCATGCTGCCGTCCGGCGTCGGAGGCGGCGTGCAGTCGGTGGTGCCGGGCGCGATATCGCCCGCCAACAGCATAGGCGGCGGCATGCCGCAACCCGGGGGCGCCGGGCTGGGCATGCAGTCGCCGCACCAGGCCGGAATCGGCTTGAAGCCGGGCGCCCAGACCCCGCCCGCCAACGTGCTTCAAGTGGTCAAGCAGGTGCAGGAGGAGGCGGCCAGGCAGCAGGCGCCGCACGTCGGCTACGGCAAAGTCAATCCCGGCGGCGGCGGCGGGCCCGTCCCAGGCCAGAACATGCCGCCCCCGCAGATCAGGGCCTGTCTTGGACCTCAAGGTAAGCAATTTTTATAATGAAACATTTCTGACACTTTTAATTCTTTGCTTTTTTTTTATTTATAAATAATTATTTTAAAAACGACTGATCAAGACTTAAAAAATAATTCTTTGTAGTCTATGAAATTTTTTAGAAAAAAAGTTAATTCTTCATTGATTATTTTGATATTTTTTTCCCGAAACTTTCAATGGAATATTCACAAAAATAAATAATGTTGGCTACCTATAAAGGAATATTAAAAAGTAAAAGATACTAAAAATAGTATTGGAGTTCTGACCAATAAAATATGAAAAAACACCACAGGCAAAATAAAATCAACATTTTGAAGTGAGCCTAAGTCTATTGTTTAAAACTTTGAAACTTGTACATAGTTGCTTAAAAAATATTAAAACATCAGGTTATGGAGCAATTTGCTGGAGCAAATAGTTTTTCCAATTTATTTTGTTTGTTAAGAGACCTGTTATCAATAAATTCTTTTACGTTTCCAGTATTGGCATTGCTACTTGGTGGACTCTCTTCTTGACTTTGCATATTTAATTTTATAATATAAGATATTATCTTGTGGAGCACAAAGACACTTTTTTATATGTTTGAACATTTTGGTTGCATTAAGGACAAATATTTTTTTACAGATCTTGCTTTGAGTATGGTATTTTTTGCACTATTTCGTATTAATTCTGGCATTGTACTGTACCTATAAATAAGCAACAAAAACGTTGGAATAATTTTAACTTTGTTTATTGTTTTTATTTTGTTTACCTTTTATGCAAAGGGTTTTTTGCAAACGATTTATGAATTGTGATGATGAGATCTTCAACAAACTTCTTCTTTTTTAAATTAACACAAATTAACTTCTTCTTATTACGTTTCTTGGCCTTAACTTCGCAACAATTGACATTTACATAAAAAACAGGAAAAGTTTCCAAGGAATGTTTCCGGTTACTTAAAAAGAAACTTTCAAAATGAAAATAAATTCCCGATTGTAAACTTTCCGATTCCCATCATTATTAAATTGTCTTAATGATATAAAAGAAAAATCCCTCAACATTAAACGGTTGTATTTTGTTTGAAGGCGGCAATCTCCTGCCGATGGAGCAATGGCAACAGCGGTACCCGGGCGGCGTGGCGCAAGGCATGCGTCAGCCCGGGCCGCCCGGCCAGATGCTTCAGTCGGGCAACATGGTGGGACAGCCGGGCAACCCGATGCAAGGCAACCAATCGGGCGTGCGCCCCGGTCAACAGCAGATGAACGTTCCCGGTCAGGGACAGATGATGCAGAAGCAGGCGCTGCAACAGCTGATGCAGACGCTGCGGTCGCCGCAGTCGGCCGAGCAGCAGCAACAGATCCTGCAAATACTCAAAGCGAATCCGCAGCTGATGGCGGCCTTTATCAAACAAAGACAGGTAAGTTTTAATCGATTGACGGCAGAATAGAAACGCTTTTTACGACGATAAAATACATTTTTACGATTCAATTTAAATTAAAAAAGTTTATTCATATGATATTGTTTTCTTAAACTACTTTGACTCGAATAAATAATATTTGATAATCGGCCGGCACTTTTTATACTTTTATTCTAATATTTAAACTTGATGATATTTTTATGCCATAGTAAAGCTTCTAAAACAATTTTAAATTATTGACTTTAAATCATCTTTTACTCTTTTACTTGAAGTATAATTTCTAGAAATTAGTTGTACGAATTTTCTACAACAACACGTTCTTCTTGTTTAGATGGCTCAAAGTGGCGCGGGCGGACCTCAGCAGCAACAGCAACAACAGCAGCAGCAGCAACAGCCGTTGCAGCACATGCTGAGTCAGCAAAGCCAGGTGCAGCAGCAGCAGCAACAACAGCAGCAGCAGCACGCGGCGGCTAGCAGGCTGCAGATGCCGGGCGGCATGATCAACCAGGGCCAACAGGGTCTGCAGGCTGGTCCTCAGGGTCAGCCGATGACGCAGCAGCAGCAGCAGTGGTATCAGCACCAGAAGCTGCTGGCACTGCAGCGGCAACAGCAGCAGCAGCAGGCGCAGCAGCAGCAGCAACAACAGCAAGGTAAGTTTTATTAGCAAGTTCACTTTTTTATGTTTTACGCATTACTAGAGATGGGATTTTAGGTTGCAAAATTTATTAAAAAAAATAGTAGTTTTTTCTTGTGTAAGGTGAAAAATTTATTAAATTAGGTACTTTACGAAAATAAATACTGAAAAGCAACTTTTAGGTAAAATTATTTAATTTAATATTGTATACCTACAATTTTATTGAATATCTTGTAAAAATATTATAATCCCATCATACATTTTATAATTTTTTAAAGATGTAGATCATTAAATTATTAAATAATCATACAATAATTGTATGCAATTATTGCTGACAAAATTAGGTATGGTAAAACTGTTTTTAAAGAACAAAAATTTGATAAAATTTGTGAAAATCACTGCAACTTTGCACACACCATTTTTATTTTGTTTACAATTGAATATATGAGAATAAGAACAGTACAAGTCAAAAAATTTAATTTTGAGAAGTCATTTTTTAAAATAAATTTTAAAGTTCAAAATACATTTTTGTGAGAATATTTTAACTATTCATATTCTTTAAAATGATTTATATCTTCTCACAAAAATGTATTTTTAACTTTAAAATTGATTTTTAAAAAATGACTTGTCAAAATTAAATTTTTGGTCTGGGCTTGTTTAACAGATTCATAATTTTTTTAAAAGTTATGCACTTGTAAGTCTCAAATGATGCCTTAAAATACCAAGGGCACCCATTTCACACCTCTTTTGTAAAAAATAAACCTTATTTTGTCAGGGCTGTCATTAAAGTGTCAAATGTCAATTTTAAGGTTATGATAAATTAACCTTAAAGTTGAAATTTGACAGTTTAGTGACAGCCCTGATAGAATAAGGTTTATTTATTTAGAAAAGAGAAGTAAAATGGCAGTGATTTCTCTCGCATTCTCCCAGTCTTAAAAACCGGGGGGCAATAGTAAAGGGGAAAAGAAAGAAAGAAAAGTATGAATTTTGTCGGTAGGTTTCCAACAGCCTCCGGCGCCGCCGTCGTATCAACAGCAGCAGCGACTGCCGGCGATAAGGCAGCCGCACATGGGCTACAACAACTCGTTCGGCGACCAAGGCCAGTATCCGCCGATGCAGGGCTTGAAGCCGACGCCGCCGCCAGTGCCCAGTCCGCAGGGCGTGATGGGCCCGCCGCAAGGCCAGGGCATGACAGTGCAACAGCAGCAGCAACTCATGCAGAGCGTGAGGAGTCCACCGCCCATAAGGTAACACCATTTAAGTATTATTTTTTATTTCTTTATCTACATGGTAAAATATATTTTTGGAAAACAATCAAGAAATACTAAAAATTATATATTTTACCCCCCTAAAAACTTATATCTAGTTCATATAAAAACTTGGAGTAAACTAAAATTTTCAGAAAATCTAAACATCTAAAATTTTCAAAAATTAAAAATTGAAATCGAAAGTATTCCTTTCAAAAAATATTAACTTAGTAATATAGGCAATAATATTCGTTTTAATTTTTTACCCAATCATTTCAAAAGGACTTATACTTACAAAAGTATTGTGAAATGTTGGAGATTGCTAATAAAAAATATTGTAGTTTCCTGTTTTTGGTATTAGCCCCCAAATGTGTATGGGTGAATATATTGTTAATAACATAACATAAGTGGTTCTGCACTAATGCAAGAATTTTAAGAAATCATACATTTTGAATATTAGAGCTTCACGGAGGTTAGGATTTCGTATGTTTTTTTTTAAATATATTTTGAAATAAGTTATTGTACAGTTGTATTCAATAAAAAAGCGTACAAGAATTAGAATGAGAGAAAACTGTCAAAATAATATTATTGCTTAAAACCGGCTTATCACTGACATAAGTCATTAAAATAATTATTATAGGTTATAAAGAGCATTGACGTCGTAGGTTAATTAAATAATATTACAAAAATTATTACCTTTTAATAATGAAAAAACAAACATTAAAAAAAAATAATATTTAGTCATGCATCCCTGTTTTTCTATTACTTGAGCCAATCTATTTGGGATGAACTGAATTAAATTTAATACAATATTTGGATTAATATCTTCCCAGCAGTATAGTAGGTATAGTATAGTTGTATAGTTTCCCATAAATCCTCAGATATCTCAAAAAAGCAGCATCCTGTTCAGGGGTGGACATTTTGGGACGACCTGAACCAACTTTTTGGTTAAGTAAATCTTCCTGTTCCCAGCGTTGCTTAATTTTTAATATAGTTTTTTTATTTCTATTATACCACAGTACGAATTGACCATTCTTCTTTGATTCTTGATACTATTTGAGCCTTTTTAACTGACGAGGCATTTTTATTTTCTACTGTCAGTTATAGTGACTTAAGTCAGTGGAAAGCCGGTTTTACGCAATAATGTTGACAGTTTTCTCTCATTCTAATTCTTGTACGCTTTTTTAATGAATACAACTGTATCTTTTCAATTCAATCTTTAAAAGACTTTGTAAAATTGTTAAATATGATACGCCCTTATGTGACAATGGAGACGATATTATCGGAACTTCGGAAGTCCGAATAAATTTTATTTTGCAACTCGTTAGATAAATATTAGGGTGGTCGTTAAAAATTAAATTTTTTGCGACGCCCCGTAAAAAGCTTATTTTTGATGAAAAACTGGTAATTTTTTTTTAATTAAAAACAACACGTGCCATAAGACGATCTAAGTTAATTTTTTGGTATAATCATGTTTTTTGGGATTTTTTTATGAAAAATAAAATTTTATTCAAAATATAAACACATATAGAACCCAAATCAATAAAAAAACAATAGTTAATCGAAATAACAATAGACAAAAATTTAAATTCAAAATTTTTCCCAGTTGATTTGGTCTATTAAATAAAAAAAATGAAAGATATTCAAATTGATATTTTTATTTTAAAACTAAATTAGTACAAACGTAATTTTAATATCTAGATTTCTTCACCCCATTGTTAATAATTTTTAAATCTCAAAAAAAAAATTATTATTATTATTATTAATCCATATTTTCAGAGAAGACCAAACCAAAAAATGAACTTTGATCGTCTTGAGGCACGTGTTGTTCTTAATTAAAACGTCGTTAAAAATGTAATTTTAACGAGCATAGATATTTAGAAATGAAAAATAAAGAGTCGTGCGTAATTTCAGAAGTCCGCAGCCGTCGCCTTCGTCTCGTCCTCTGGCGTCGCCGCGCAACCAGGCGGTGCCTAGCCCGCGCGGGCCTCAACCCTCGCCGCACGACCTGGCCGCCTCCGAGATGCTCCTGGGCGGCGGATCGGGCGGCGGCGGCGTGGGCGTCGGGCAGAACCACTCGGGCGCCGGGGGGCTGCACCCTCACTCGTCGGCCGCGCCGACGGCGTCCGGCGTGGGTGGTCCGCAGGACGCGTCCGGCCAGGAGGCGACCCCCATGACGCCGCAAGACCAGCTCAGCAAGTTCGTGGAACAGCTCTAGTGGTGCAGGGCGCTGCTGTCTTCCAGGAGATCGGCAGACGTCTAATACCCATTCATCAAATAGTGTCTACCTAAATGTAAATATAGAAAAATAATAATGACCTAGCAGCGAGTGAGACTGACTTTGGAAACGATGTAAATAGTGTAATTCGACGCAGAGACCTTTTTTAAAACAAACCAACCACCCCCTGTACATATGTTTTATAATGTTTAACATAAGAAGAATTTGTATAAAAAATATGTATAATTTTTAGTGATGATAAACAAACATGAAGTTAACCTAAATAGAAGAAGTGAAGATACCTAAAAAGTATTTGGCTTTGCGTGAGGCTGTGTTCTATAACTTAAAAATTTAAAGCGGAATGTTACCGAAAGTGTTTAATGTATAACGGCATAGCTGACGCACTCTTGTCCGTTCATTTTTTATACTTGACATTAATTAATTATATTAAGAAAAAATGTTTTAATTAAACAAAACTTATAGTGACGCTGTAAATAATAATTTTTACCGAAAAGACTTTAGTTAAACTGTAAATTCGGTAGCTATGTAAGCTATGTGATTGTCCTTGTTCTAGGGACTATTTGTTTTTTATATATATTTATAATTTATATATCGTATTTGTTTTCTTTTTCATGTGTTATATAACATTCCACGAATCCTTTTTGTGGAGTGAATTTATCATTATCAATTGCTCTGGCTTCTTTCTTTTTATTATTATTATTATTATTTTACATACCTACCTACCTTCCCACAAACAACCTCCTCACCAACTTTTTTTATTTCGCCCAAAACAAACCACTCAAACAACGACTTCCAAACACCTTTTTACAGCCAGTGACATACTTAAACAAACACTCCCTCCCCTAATTTATTTTTGAACATACATCAATTTAGTATAAAAATTTTAGTGTTAAGCATTATATAAAAGAGAAATAAATAATATTAAAAAAATTTAAAATATATCTGCGACTTTTCTTTACACCATCCAGCACAAATTTAGACAAATGTGCTTCTGGCTTTGTCTTGGGCTTCCAGTGATAAACTACCGACATCTGGCGGGTATTTTTTGAAATTTGGTTTATTACTTTCTGTAGATTATTTTCCAAAGAAAATTAAGTCGCAAATATCTAGAAACCACTCCCTGATTGCTTAAATGCTTTCAATAGAAAGAAAACTTGCAAATTATTATGGCATCAAAAATAGATTTAGTAGACTGAAATTATACCTATTTTTGATCCTATGATGTTGTTTTAATAAATATGAATTATTATATTTATTTCAGCTCAAATATTTCCTTCCTGTGACGAAAACAGGCAAAAGAAATAATGTCAAAAGCAGAAAACTGCAAATGGAAACTTTTCGATTCGCATCTCTACAAAAAAATATCCTTTATCCACTCCTATTGCATAATATTGGGGTTTTTCCATATATAATGATAACCATTATAACCGCCGCGCCTCCCAACGCAGATAATGAACTCATTATTTACGTTGTTGGGCATCACTGATTGGCCGATTTCAATATTTACTGTGTTTTGAACCAATCGGTTTTACATTGAGAGAAGCCAACTATAATATTTAAAATTGGTAGAAAGTGATCACTTCGAAGTTAACCATCTGACAGATGTCAGATCACGGTCTGTGTCAGATTTTATTTTTGAATTCATTTAAATTTGATTTAGATTTGACAACACTGTTTTGTGCGGCTTTTTTGTAAGTTTTTAGGTTAGGTTGCTGTCATTAGAATACAAAAAAATTATTTTTTACGTATTAATTATTACTTTACATGCACACTTACTAACAATGGAGACAGAAGAAATAATTTTGGAAGTGGAAACATTACAACTGAAATGCAAGAAACGAGATTTAATTGAAAACAGTGACTACTTTAAAGCTATGTTTGAAGGGAATTATGAGGAAAGTATGAGCAAATCTATAAAACTAAAGGTAATTTTACTTTAACACTACACACTCTTAGATATACTATTATGTGTATTCTAGGATGTCGATCCAGTTGGTTTAAATTTGTTAATTAATTTAATATCTAACGAGAACTTTATACTGCAAAAGGAAGACACTCTGCTAGCGCTAGACGCCGCTTGTATGCTACAATTCGTAGAAATTAAAAATAAAATCATTGAAAATATAACAGAGACACTGTCATTGGATAATTTATTAAAAATATGGCTCGCAACAGAACGACAAGGTATTCATCCACTTTCATTAAAAGCTAAAAGTATGGCCTTACAGTGTTTTAATGTATTAAAAAATAGTGATGAAGTGTTGGAGTTAAATATTAGGGATTTGGTAAGATATTTAGGACACAAACATTTGGAAGTTAAAGATGAAATGGATGTTTTTGATGTAATAGTTAAGTGGTTGGACAGAAATTATGTTGAACATAAAAATAATACTAAAGACCTAATAAAAATATTAAGTACGTTGGATTTTAACAGTCTTAATTTTTCTGATTTGGAAAAAATGTTAAACTATAAAGTTTTTGTCGAGAATAGGGAAGTTAATGGCATTTTAAGAGTTGTATTGAATATAAAGTCTGAAAATAACTCAAAAATTTCTTACGAATATAAAGAAAGAGCAGAAAAATTATTAGATTGTGATAAAAGGATATCTTATAGATATCCATGCTTTTTGGGTGTTCTAAGAGGATCTGAACTAGAACTCTCAAAATCACCTAAAAAATCAAAACTTGAAGAAGAGACTGTTATCTACTATGGTAAGAACTCAAAAATACTGATTGATAAATTTTAAGTTCAACAAACTTTTTTAGATTTAAAAACAAATACATTCCAAAAATTATTCAAACTTGAAAATGCTGAGCATCAAAATTTGGAGGGTTTCAAGTTAATTTCCTATAAAGAACGTATTTTAATGTTTGGGGGGGAATATGTTTTGGGAAAAGGCAATTGGAATTACAACCATTGGGCTTATAATACCATCACAGAAAAATGGAAAAAAGAATCATTGTAAGTTTAACATTTTATAGCCCAGTCCTAATGGTATATTATGTATCAAGTTTGATAAACGCCATTTTTTACACGAATTTAATTACAACAAATATTTATTATTATTATTAAATTAAAAATATGCAATAAGGGTGTCACTTGACTGGCCTATGTTTCTTAATTTAGTACTATAATTTATAACATCAATTGCGATATAAATTTTGATTAGTGTATAATTATGCCTTATTTTTTTATTAATTTACAAAATCTTTTAGAATGGTTGTACCAAGAAGGCATTTTGAATCTTGTATTGTAGGAAATTATCTTTTTGTTGTTGGTGGGACAGCTACGTTTAGAGTAGTTCAAGATGATATGTTTTATTATGACTTAATAAATGGTATAAATTATTTTCTTTTTAAAAACTTTATTAACATTATTTTTTAGGATGGTGGAGTCACCCAATTAAACTCCCAATGTCTGATAGTCAAACAAAATGCTGTGATTTTGTAAATAAGTTATTTATTGTTAATTTAAGCAAAGAAAATCCAATCTATTACTTTGATTTGGAAAGTTCCGCATGGAAAATAGTGGAAATCATAGACCAAGACAAAATTCTACAGACCATCAAAATCTTTAATGTTTTTTCCAATAAAGACACTCTATTTATTAGAGGAAATTCTGTGATAGTAAAATTAAAATTCAATGAACACAAACTTGAAGTTTCGAAAGTTATAAAACTTAATCAAAAAATTCCCTGTGATGCAATGGAATCGGTTTTATGTGGAAATACAATTTATACTATATCCACTGAAATCGATCCAGATATGGACATGTATTCCTTTCAAACATTTAATTTATATACTGATATTGAATCACATATTTTTTGCAATAGACCTGAAAACCACTTACTGCATATTGGTGAGGATGTTTATAAAATTAAACCCAATTTTAAGTTATTTGCATTTAAGCATTTCAATATTGCTGAGGATAATTTCATTAATAACGAATTTTGTTAATGCTACTTTTACTTTTTCACTTACCTATGTTAAATTTGTTATTTTTATAGATATTTTTGTAAATATATAATTAAAATTTTTCACGGGTTTTTATTTAAATTTATTATTTATTATCTAAATATTTAAAAAGTTGCGTTTTAGAACACAAATTTGTGAAATAACAAAAACATACCTTTTTTTAAATACGATTTTATAATTTTAAAAAGCAAGTCATAAAAAGTTGCATAAAACTAGCCAATCAAACACCAGCATTTAACGAACTGCGTCACATTTTATGACGCGCGGCGTTGCCAAACTGCCCAAGGTAAAACCGATATCGACTTCAATTTTATTATTTATTACCAGAATATGTCAATAGTTATGATTACAATTGAATTTTTGGGGTTTAACTTGTTTGTTTGTAATATGATGGTGTTGGTAGGAGTCTTCTCATGGATTACATTTTTTATTTGGTGGACAGATGACGTAACAGAAGTAAACTTGGCAATGATGTGTATAAAATGACAGAAGTAACGCATTTTTAAGCAGTTTTACCAAAACACTTGTCTTGTCATTGTAAAAGTAGAAAAGCCAGCAAAATGGCAGAAAAATCCGAAGTTTCCGGTGGAATCCTAACAAATTTGGTGTCAGAGGTGGTTCAAAGTCCTATGAACCTCGCCCTGGTCGTCCTGATTGTAGTGCTTGTGTATAAAATTTTGAAAAACCGTCAAACATCCAATGCAGAAGCTGCACCCCAAGAAGTGCTGCCGCCGAAAATGAAAAAGCAGGACTTTACGGTGGCGGAACTGAAGAAATACGACGGAAATCAGGAGGACGGAAGAGTATTGGTAGCGGTAAATGGGAATGTGTACGACGTGACCAAAGGCAAAAAGTTTTACGGCCCAGGTAAGAGCATATTGAGATGTTTGTTCAGATTACTAATCAAAAGTATTAATTACGTTAAAGATATACAATTGTAAGCTACTTAATTAAAAAGTAATTTATTCAATTAGCGTGAACGCCACTACCCAATGATGTCATAAAACTATACTGCAACAAGTTTATGTAGGTATGCAACAAAAACAAACTAACATCAAAATAAGTATGACGTCACTTTGTGATCATGATATATTGTATAAAATTAATAAGAAAAAAAAATAAATTTTTTACTTTGGATAAGTATCTCTGTGTTTCTTGTAACATTACAAAGTTTTCATTCATACAAAAGTACCAAAAATGATCACAAACTCACACCATAACCATACAAAATATTGAAATTTTTTTAAATGTAAATATAGCATTATTTTGTTGATATATTTTTGCTATCAATTGTAAATAATCTGATAAGAATTAGACATCACACAATCTTCTTCTTTAAACAAAATTAAATACAATTTTACAGGTTTTGTAGAAAGCATAAAAGTTAATATTTTCATAACCAAAATATAAATATTATTTACATAGGTATAACAAGATAAAAAGTGATGCATAATTAAGGTCAATGTCATTAACTTTTCATGCTATTTTTAAAGCTTATAATTTTTCCTGTTGCCATGATTAAAAAACAATAAATTCTAATAACACCCACAAAAAATTGTGAAAAATAAACATTTAAAAAAAAGTCTTTTCTATATAAAAGTAAAGCATTTTAAATGTAAAAATGTTATCATAAATATTAATTTATTTTTATAATTAGGTTGGTGTATGCGTCAATGCTATAATTAAGTATTGTTTTTATGTATTACACTTATGCTTAAAGTTTATTGGTTTGTACCATAACCTTCCTTAATAGTTGATAATTATATAGTCAAAAGTGTTCTTGGTGAAAACTTGAAATAAATAAATAGATTTTTATGTTATATGAAATGAGTGGAGAAGCAAGTAGCAAGAAAGTTTTAAGCTGTGTAGTTATAGAGACATTTGGCAAAGCAAAGGATTATGAGTTATGAGAAGGACTGAAGATGCATGAAGACTCAGATGCGGAGTTCAGGGTTGTTTCTTTTTGTGATTTAAATCGGAATTTTTTTATTAAAACAAAAAAGCCCGCAAAAGTTTCTAGTTTTGTTGATTTTTTGTAGACTTTTGTGTTAATACAACTTGACACTTTTCCCTGAAATCATATTTTTGCCAGATTATGTTTCTTTTTATTGTTTTGTTCTATTTCTTATGGTTAAACGTCACGTTTTATATGAAAAAATTGAAGGAGTTTGGAAGACTAATTATTTAGATTTACAAACAGTATTTTTGCGGTGTTCCGTCACTTATTGGGTTAACTGTTACTAACTGTTACGGATGTATTAATGACTACCCAAAAATTGGCAAAATATCATTTATCAAATGATGGTTTAAAGTATATTTTAAATAGGATTCGGATTTGTTTAAGTTATGGGTAAAAATCCATGAGAACTGCTTCTAGAGCCTCATATACTTTTTTTATATTATTTTTTTCATAGTTGCGTGTCTTGAAATGACTAGTAATTTTAAGATACTATAGTACTTAAATAATATATTATTACGTATGTATAATTAATTTAGCTAGTAATTATTAATTTGTAAACAAATAATTAACTTTGTGAAACAAAACTTTCTCTTTGCAGTCGAAAATAATTGAATATGTTAAATTTTACGTTATGTTGTAAACAATATAAAAATTTAAACGCAAATAAAATTTTAGACAGTAGCATAAACAAACGAAGCATTCAGCTGTAAAATAATTATTTTTAGATCTGAATCTGTTTTTGGGTAGGTCATTATAATATATCGATTGAATTCGTATGGGTTGAGTACAAAACTTTGAGGGATTCGTTATAATAATTAATTACTTTATTTTTTAAGGTTTAAGTTATATAGCATACCACAAGAAATTACATATCTGGGCAAAGTTCAAATAAATAGATACATCAGTTAACCCAAATTTAATTTTTTTAGAAATTTTATTCTACTCCTTTTCCCGTTAAGTTTTTTAACAATGTTGCCAAAACATTCCGCCATATTTACTATAGAAGCATATAGCATAGCTGTATATATTTTATACTCATATTTGGTCATCAAAACAAGTTTTATATAAATACGTAAAATATTAAATTGAAAAGATGCAATATTAACCTTGGAACACCAATAATCAACAAATAATAATTTTTAGATGTATGATTACACAAAAATACCTACATACAGGGTGTCCCAGGATTTAGTAAAAAATTCTTAACAACACTATTATTTGAGATAAGAGGTATTAAATTTTAATATTGTCTGGGCTAACATTGGTCAAATTAAATTCCATATTGCGAATTTCAGATTTTTTTAAGCAGTTCTAAACATAATAAATTATTTTGTTTGTAACTTTGTTAGAATAACGCCTCAAAACAAAACTCTTATACCTATTTACAAGACAGTATAAAATAAAGTAGGTAAATGTTAATCTTACAGTTTAGGTAGAAATACTTTTTTTATTATTTATCAATAGTTTAGCAAGTCGTATTCGTAGTTTCACTTATTTTGTATTTTAAATTAAGCATGTCGTCACATATCCTGTAAACTTTGAATTTGCATTTAAAATGGATTTGTGTCTGGGCTGCTCGTAAATAATTTATCAATTTTTTAATCTATCGATTTTGGCTTTTTTATCGAACTAAAATTATTTATAGAACCAATTCGTTTGTAGGTTTATAGATTTTAGATAGGTAAATAAAAATAATTTCAATACGATAAACCATTAAAAAATATTTATACGCTTGCGTTAATGTAAAGTCCACATATCAGGCCACTGATGAAAAGTTCAATTCAGAGATACCAACTAAACTATATTTAGATGTTAACATAATAGCTGTTTTTAAAAAACAATTACATATATTTAGTATTATTTCACATTGTTATTTAGGCCTGTCAAGTAATAATAAAATAATAATTTTAATTTAAAATGTCTTAACCATTAAATAATCTTAAATGTGATAATTTTTTTACATTACAATTTTTTGTTATTAATATTATTCTATTACTTAAAAAAACAATATGGTTTTTTCGCTCCTTAGTTTATGCCTAAATAAAAATTAAGTTAAAATTCCAGCTTCAATTTTAATATTAAGAAGTCCTCAAGTTTAAAAAATTTCCGTTAAAATTACACAGGAAAAAATAGTAATATAGTTACAGACAGAAATAATGAAAAAAAACATTTTCCTGAGGAACCTCTAAAATTTAAATTAAGATTATTTTTTAGACAATCTAATTTGTGTGTTGTATTTAACATGAACGGAAATAACTTTTTTTTAAAGAACAAAACTATCACTTAATTATCATTTGGCATTAATTATTTAAATACAACTACAAAAATTTATTGTTACTCCAATATAACGTCACCAAATTCACGAAGTGGCGTATATGAAGATTTAAGTTATGCAAAAAAGCAATTTTTTGAAATAAAAGTTTAGCATACTAAACACTTATTCCAGAAATTTGCTTTTTTGCATAACACAAATCTTCCGATACGGGTGTTTGAAGTTTTGTGTTTTGCAAAAAACCAATTTTCTGGGATAAACGTTTAAAATGCTAAACGTTTATTTCAGAAAATTGCTTTTTGTATAACTTAAATCTTCATATACGCCACTTCGTGAATTTGGGGACGATAAGTAAAACCTAAGACGTTCTTTAACATAAAATCAGTAAAAGTAAAACAATTGCTTGACATATTATTGATTTACCTTGTGTCGTGAATCCTTATGGTTTACAAGGTTACCTAATTGTATTTATACTTTAGGCGGTCCTTATGCGGCTTTTGGTGGCAAAGATGCTTCAAGAGGTCTGGCCACATTCCAGGTTTCAGCAAAAGAAGAAGAGTATGATGACCTCAGCGACCTCAACAGCTTCGAAATGGAATCAGTAAGGGAATGGGAAATGCAGTTTAAAGGTAAAGAAAAAGTCACATTGATTTTTAACTACTTTAACAACACTGGTGTGTACATTTGGTGCTACTATTTTTTTCTAATGTAGGTACTTTGGCATACTGAACTCGTCGCAATTTGTATTGAAGTTGAATTTTTCTCTTGATTTTTAAAGGCACCTTAAAAACGACCAATCTGGTTGCAAAAAGTGTCAAATTAACCATTATCAATTATAATCAATTATTTTACAGAAATTTAAGATTTGAAAAAACTCCGAGACAAGTCTATTTTCAAAATGTATAGAAATGTTTCATGGGAGGGAAAAAAATGAAATTTTTTTTGTACTGTGTTATAGAACCTTTGCGGTTGTGTTTGCTGGGGTTATAATAAAATTGCACTTTTCAGAAAAGTACGAGCTGGTGGGTAAACTTCTGAAGCCCGGCGAAGCCCACAACAGCTATTCCGATGAAGAGGACGAGCCGACCAATGCGGGCGACCAAAAATCCAAAGACGAATAGAACATACAGTACGCATCTCGATAAAACAAACACATCGCAGCCAGGCTCGCGTCGAGTACCTACTTTCTAAAATCCCCGTCAACTTATTTTACCACAACAAAAATATTCCTACACAGAGGTGCGCGCCTGGTTGCGTCCCATATAACACGAAAAAGTCTGAACTAGAATTATATATGTATATTTCATAAAAAGAAAACACTTAATTTTATATGGTATTGTTGGCTTTTATAGTTTTCGGTAGAATGCAAGTTCTGGGATACACTTTTAGCTTGGTTGTCAAATTTAATATTTCCTGCGTTGCCATGTTTATTGTATGGTTCATCCATCCATTGAGTTTTTAAGTAACGTAAAATATATGTTACGAAAAATTATCTTAATTGTATTCACGTTATTGCTATTGCTCGAATTTCTCTAGGAATTTGGACTTTCAAATTTTAGGCCCATTTGATGAAGAGTAAAAATAAAAACAGAAACAGTTGAATGTTATTTAAAGAATTTTTTTTCATTATTTGGTATATATTTTCCCCAACAAATAGCTGAGTTGTTCCCATTTAAAAAACGCAACCTCCACTAAACCAAAATTGTATCCCTAGCTTACTAATACATATTTTAGTACAAAACCCTAAAATATTTATTTTATTATAAAAAGTTGCTTAGTATACAAGCACTGAAAACTAACCAAAATTAATTTGTTTTTACTATATATGTATATCTATTGTTATGTGATAATATCATTTTGCATATGCCTTGGTATAATCGCGGTTTTCTTTTTTAACTTTTTTACCAAAAATATTTTCCCAAAATTTCTACTACTTATGGTACAGTGAGTTATTATGGAAAATTTAGGTTTTATTTTAGGAAATACTATATATTCCCATGTCTTCTGCATTTGTTTACTTTTAAACGAAAAAACTATTATGTGTGGATATTCCATTTGAGTAGCGCGCCAGTTTATTAATTTTTTTTAAAAGGCTTTACAAAGCCTTAATTACATGTAGTATAAGATAATTTAGAGGAAGAGGTCTGGTATTTACTGTAAAAACAAAAATATTAAATTAATTACAGAGCAGCAGTTAAAAAAATAAAATTCGTATAATTTACTTCAAAACGTGTATGTATGTGATGAAAAAGTATATGCCTACTTATTTTGTAATTGTTAATCTTTTTTAAATCTATAATCGGCATGTAAAGCTATCGTTTTTTTTTCAATTTGCTAAAACGTGAGTGAAATTATTTTATTTTTTGTTATCTGGTGTTTTAATCATTTTAAATATTTAATTAAGGTACTTAAGCATACTTTTTTATATAATTGGTTTTAATATATGGATTAAACTAAAATTAACTATTTAAAATGATAATTTGTTGAATATATAATATATCCATACAGTTTTTTTGATGTAAATAATTTGTATATGTTGCATATATGCTTATATCCAAATAAAACTTACCTTTTATTTTTATTTTGTGTTTAATTTAGCCAAAAAACAAAATTCTCAGTAAAAAGTATCATGTAGGACAGTGGTCCACCTTAATAATTCAAACTGCCAGCAATTCTCATGAAACTTTGTGGTCCTAAATAAAATGGAAAACTTATCAATAGTTTCTTAAGTAAATACATATTTTTAATTAATGCAGTAGTATAATGTGACCAGAATAACGTGGTCACTGGTTTTGGATTGATAATACGTTAAAAATATGGACAGAAAGAAACTTGGAACGATTTGTTGTGTTGTTGGGTGTTTTTCGTTAGGAAATCCTAGGTTGAGTTTTTACTGGTTTCCCAATAAACAGTGGAGGTCCGAATAAAGAAATAAATTGCATACAGTCCCTGTAAATATAAATTATATCTATTAGATACAATAAATACACATTTTAGTAATAATTTAGTGAAAATTGTAAACATTTCAATTCATAAATCGTTCATTGAAAGTATTCACTCAACGGTAAAATACCAAAAACTGGTATAACATTATGTATTATATATAATATTATGTTGCCATTTTATGCCTACAACTAAATTTTAAAATGGTATACGTTTTAAAATGCACTTGTAGGCGTTTTTTAGAGCACTTGAATAAAAAATGTTTTATATTAAGGTCGTGTTTGTACAACAATTGTTTTTTGTTGGATTTCTTAAAAATGTCCAAACTTAAATAATTATATTATTTTAGTTATATTTTTTAAATTTGTCCTACTGTGCGAATTTGTCCTCCTATTTTTTAAATTTATCCCACTGTGCGAATTTGACCTTTCGGTTTTTAAATTTACCCCAATGTGCGAATTTTCCCCACCATTTTTTAAATTCGCGCATTGAGGTAAATTTAAAAAACGAAAGGACAAATTCGAAGTGGGATAAATTTAAAAAATGGGGGGACAAATTCGCACAGTGGGATAAATTTGAAAAATTGTAGTATCTATTTGAACCGAAATTACAAAGTTTTATGTTAAATTTTTAATAAATTATTATAATTTCTTTGTTATTTTTATTTAGTCAATTTTCTAAAGTGATCATTTGTTTATCACCCCAATGGGCGAATTTTTCCTACTATTTTTTAAATTTGTTCCTCTGTGCGAATTTATCCTCCTATTTTTTAAAATTTATCCCACTGTGCGAATTTGTCCTCCTAATTTTTAATTTATCCCACTGTGCAAATTTGTCCTCCTAAATTTTAATTTTGTCCCACTGCGAATTTGTCCTGCTAAATTTTAAATTTATCCCACTGTGCGAATTTGTCCTCCTAAATTTTAAATTTATCCCACTGTGCGTATTTGTCCTAAATTTTAAATTTATCCCACTGTGCAAATTTATCCTCCTAAATTTTAAATTTATCCCACGGTGCGAATTTGTCCTCCTAAATTTTAATTTTGTCCCACTGTGCAAATTTGTCCTCCTAAATTTTAAATTTATCCCACCGTGCGAATTTGTCCTCCTAAATTTTAATTTTGTCCCACTGTGCGAATTTGTCCTCCTAAATTTTAATTTTGTCCCACTGTGCGAATTTGTCCTCCTAAATTTTAAATTTATCCAACTGTGCGAATTTGTCCTACTATTTTTTAAATTTATCTCACTGTGCGAAATTGTTCTTTGAACAGCGCCATCTGTTATCCGGTAACCAAACGTTAAATTTACAGAAAACTTTATCAAACAATTATTAAAAAAATTTTAAAGTTTATCTCACTGTGCGAATTTGTCCTACTATTTTTTAAATTTATCTCACTGTGCGAAATTGTTCTTTGAACAGCGCCATCTGTTATCCGGTAACCAAACGTTAAATAATGTTTGATAAAGTTTTCTGCAAATTTAACGTAATAATTGTTTGATAAAGTTTTCTGTAAATTCAACGTTTGGTTACTGGATAACAGATGGCACTGTTCATATGACAAATTCGCACAGTGGGATAAATTTATTAAATAGGAGGACAAATTCGCACAGTGGGATAAATTAAAAAAATAGGAAAAAATCGCATAGAGGGATAAATTAAAAAATGGTGAGAAAAATTCGCACATTGGGATAATTTTAAAAATAGTAGGAAAAAATCGCATAGAGGGATAAATTAAAAAATGGTGAGAAATTTAAAAACAAAAGGACAAATTCGCGCATTGAGGTAAATTTAAAAAACGAAAGGACAAATTCGAAGTGGGATAAATTTAAAAAATGGGGGGACAAATTCGCACAGTGGGATAAATTTGAAAAATTGAGGGAAAAATTCGCACATAGTACCCCTAATTTAAAAATTAGTGTGAATTTTTCTTACCATTTTTTAAATTTCACTGTGCGAAATTTCTTCCTATTTTTTAAATTTATTCCAGTGCGAATTTGTCCTCCTTAATTTTAAATTTATCCCACTGTGCGAATTTGTCCTCCTAAATTTTAAATTTATCCCACTGTGCAAATTTGTCCTCCTAAATTTTAAATTTATCCCACTGTGCAAATTTGTCCTTTGAACAGCGCCATCTGTTATCCGGTAGCCAAACGTTAAATTTACAGAAAACTATCAAACAAAAATTCAAAAATATTGTCACTCAGTGTACATGACATCGAGTAGTTCAAATGTCCTACACTGCATGACATAATTTTTAAACCACTCCTAATTTAATTATTTATGGCCATAAAAAAAAAACAAAGAAATTTCACATTAATAACAAAAATTTTCAATATTAATAACATTTATTTAAATAAATACACTCTATTCCTCTAATTTTAAAGGCACCATGTTAATTTCTTGACGCAATTCTTGCACATTTTGCTCCCACCTTTTCTCAAAATAAATATTTAGTAGGAAATCCATATTTTTACCAGTCTTTATAGCCCAGGGCAGATATTTTTCAGTGTATAATTTCCTGTGCTTGGGTTTTAATCTTCCTGCCCCGAATATGGCCCCCCCTATGCACATGGGGAGTTTTGTTTGTATTGCCTCCACCCACTTGACTGTAACTTCACCTAACATATGAGTGGGCATGCATAATACTGATACTGGTTCAAAAATGTTTTTCCCCACTGTGCAAATTTGTCCTCCTAAATTTTAAATTTATCCCACTGTGCAAATTTGTTTTCCTAAATTTTAAATTTATCCCACTGTGCGAATTTGTCCTCCTTAATTTTAAATTTATCCCACTGTGCAAATTTGTCCTCCTAAATTTTAAATTTATCCCACTGTGCGAATTTGTCCTGCTTAATTTTAAATTTATCCCACTGTGCAAATTTGTCCTCCTAATTTTTAAATTTATCCCACTGTGCAAATTTGTCCTCCTAATTTTTAAATTTATCCCACTGTGCGAATTTGTCCTCCTTAATTTTAAATTTATCCCACTGTGCGAATTTGTCCTCCTTAATTTTAAATTAATCCCACTGTGCGAATTTGTCCTCCTAAATTTTAAATTTATCCCACTGTGCAAATTTGTCCTCCTAAATTTTAAATTTATCCCACTGTGCAAATTTAGACTTTGAACAGCGCCATCTGTTATCCGGTAGCCAAACGTTAAATTTACAGAAAACTATCAAACAATTATTAAAAAAATTTTAAAATTTATCTCACTGTGCGAATTTGTCCTCCTAAATTTTAAATTTATCCCACTGTGCGAATTTGTCCTTTGAACAGCGCCATCTGTTATCCGGTAGCCAAACGTTAAATTTACAGAAAACTATCAAACAAAAATTCAAAAATATTGTCACTCAGTGTACATGACATCGAGTAGTTTAAATGTCCTACACTGCATGACATAATTTTTAAACCACTCCTAATTTAATTATTTATGGCCATAAAAACACAAAAACAAAGAAATTTCACATTAATAACAAAAATTTTCAATATAAATAACATTTATTTAAATAAATACACTCTATTCCTCTAATTTTAAAGGCACCAGGTTATTTTCTTGACGCAATTCTTGCACATTTTGCTCCCACCTTTTCTCAAAATAAATATTTAGTAGGAAATCCATATTTTTACCAGTCTTTATAGCCCAGGGCAGATATTTTTCAGTGTATAATTTCCTGTGCTTGGGTTTTAATCTTCCTGCCCCGAATATGGCCCCCCCTATGCACATGGGGAGTTTTGTCTGTATTGCCTCCACCCACTTAACTGTAACTTCACCTAACATATGAGTGGGCATGCATAATACTGATACTGGTTCAAAAATGTTTTTTCCCACTGTGCGAATTTGTCCTCCTAAATTTTAATTTTGTCCCACTGTGCGAATTTGTCCTCCTAAATTTTAAATTTATCCAACTGTGCGAATTTGTCCTACTATTTTTTAAATTTATCTCACTGTGCAAAATTGTTCTTTGAACAGCGCCATCTGTTATCCGGTAACCAAACGTTAAATTTACAGTAAACTTTATCAAACAATTATTAAAAAATTTTTAAAGTTTATCTCACTGTGCGAATTTGTCCTACTATTTTTTAAATTTATCTCACTGTGCGAAATTTTTTTTTGAACAGCGCCATCTGTTATCCGGTAACCAAACGTTGAATAATGTTTGATAAAGTTTTCTGTAAATTTAACGTTTGCTTACCGGATAACAGATGGCGCTGTTCAAAGAACAATTTCGCACAGTGAGATAAATTTAAAAAATAGTAGGACAAATTCGCACAGTGGGATAAATTTAAAATTTAGGAGGACAAATTCGCACAGTGGGACAAAATTAAAATTAAGGAGGAAAAATTCGCACATTGGGATAAATTTAAAATTTAGGAGGACAAATTCGCACAGTAAGACAAAATTAAAATTAGGGAGGAAAAATTCGCACATTGGGATAAATTTAAAATTTAGGAGGACAAATTTGCACAGTGGGACAAAATTAAAATTTAGGAGGACAAATTTGCACAGTGGGACAAAATTAAAATTTAGGAGGACAAATTCGCACAGTGGGACAAAATTAAAATTTAGGAAGACAAATTTGCACAGTGGGACAAAATTAAAATTTAGGAGGACAAATTCGCACAGTGAGATAAACTTTAAAATTTTTTTAATAATTGTGTGATAAAGTTTTCTGTAAATTTAACGTTTGGTTACCGGATAACAGATGGCGCTGTTCAAAGAACAATTTCGCACAGTGAGATAAATTTAAAAAATAGTAGGACAAATTCGCACAGTGGGATAAATTTAAAATTTAGGAGGACAAATTCGCACAGTGAGATAAACTTTAAAATTTTTTTAATAATTGTTTGATAACAGATGGCACTGTTCATAGGACAAATTCGCACAGTGGGATAAATTTATTAAATAGGAGGACAAATTCGCACAGTGGGATAAATTAAAAAATTAGTGTGAATTTTTCTTACCATTTTTTAAATTTCACTGTGCGAAATTTCTTCCTATTTTTTAAATTTATTCCAGTGCGAATTTGTCCTTTCGTTTTTTAAATTTACCCCAATGTGCGAATTTTTCTCACCATTTTTCCCGTTCGTTTTTTAAATTCTCCCCAATCTGCGAATTTGTCCTCCTATTTTTTAAAATTATCCCAATGTGCGAATTTTTCTCACCATTTTTTAATTTATCCCTCTATGCGATTTTTTCCTATTTTTTTAATTTATCCCACTGTGCGAATTTGTCCTCCTTTTTAATAAATTTATCCCACTGTGCGAATTTGTCCTATGAACAGTGCCATTTGTTATCCAGTAACCAAACGTTGAATTTACAGAAAACTTTATCAAACAATTATTACGTTAAATTTACAGAAAACTTTATCAAACATTATTCAACGTTTGGTTACCGGATAACAGATGGCGCTGTTCAAAGAAAAATTTCGCACAGTGAGATAAATTTAAAAAATAGTAGGACAAATTCGCACAGTGAGATAAACTTTAAAATTTTTTTAATAATTGTTTGATAAAGGTTTCTGTAAATTTAACGTTTGGTTACCGGATAACAGATGGCGCTGTTCAAAGAACAATTTCGCACAGTGAGATAAATTTAAAAAATAGTAGGACAAATTCGCACAGTGGGATAAATTTAAAATTTAGGAGGACAAATTCGCACAGTGGGACAAAATTAAAATTTAGGAGGACAAATTCGCACAGTGGGACAAAATTAAAATTTAGGTGGAAAAATTCGCACATTGGGATAAATTTAAAATTTAGGAGGACAAATTCGCACAGTGGGACAAAATTAAAATTTAGGAGGACAAATTCGCACAGTGGGACAAAATTAAAATTTAGGAGGAAAAATTCGCACATTGGGATAAATTTAAAATTTAGGAGGACAAATTTGCACAGTGGGACAAAAAATTAAGGAGGACAAATTCGCACAGTGGGACAAATTTAAAATTTAGGAGGACAAATCCGCACAGTGGGACAAATTTAAAATTAAGGACAAATCCGCACAGTGGGACAAATTTAAAATTTAGGAGGACAAATCCGCACAGTGGGACAAATTTAAAATTTAGGACAAATCCGCACAGTGGGACAAATTTAAAATTTAGGAGGACAAATCCGCACAGTGGGACAAATTTAAAATTCAGGAGGACAAATCCGCACAGTGGGACAAATTTAAAATTTAGGAGGGCAAATCCGCACAGTGGGACAAATTTAAAATTTAGGACAAATCCGCACAGTGGGACAAATTTAAAATTTAGGAGGACAAATCCGCACAGTGGGACAAATTTAAAATTTAGGAGGACAAATCCGCACAGTGGGACAAATTTAAAATTTAGGAGGACAAATTCGCACAGTGGGACAAATTTAAAAAATAGTAGGAAAAATTCGCCCATTGGGGTGATAAACAAATTATCACTTTAGAAAATTACTAAATAAAAATAACAAAGAAATTATAATAATTTATTAAAAATTTAACATAAAACTTTCGGTTCAAATAGATACTTACATAAAAAATAATTAATGATTATTATTTAAATGGCTTTTTAAATCACTTACAAGTGAAGTTTTATAATTACAATGTTGGCATGCATGAACTTTGGAAGTGATAACATTTTTATTGGATTCGTTTAACAAATCCAAATGTTTGGTTAAAATATGATTGTCCAAACTTTGTTTTCTATTACTTTTATATTCACAAAACAAACATTTCAATATTTTTATTTTATTATGATTTTCTATATGACAATTTAAACTCCTTTTATAAACAGTTTTAAAGTGGCAAATATGACATTCGTAACATTTGGCCAACGATTTGGCGGCATTTTTCAATTTCAAACATGCTTTAATATGATTATCATAAGTTGCTTTATAAACAGTTGAATACGAACAATTAGTGCACTTGTGTATTTTACTTGTTATTTTTATTTTATTTTTATCTTCATTATATTCAGATTTGTGGTTATTTAAGATGTGTGAGTTTAGTTGGATTAATCGAGCGGCCATGTATTCACAAAGATGGCATTTTAAAAAATATTTCCTATCGTGAATTCTTAAATGTTTATTAAAATCACTTTTTCTTAACGTTTCATATTTACATTTTCCACATTTCAATTTTTCCTCTTCACCATTTATATGAACATACTTTTTATGTTCATATAAAACTTTTTTTTTTCGATATTTCTTAAAACATATTTCACACTTAAACGACTTTTCTTTCTCGACTTTTGGTTTTAAACTGTTTTCATCCATACTTTCTGTAAACAAAATTATTTATTAGTACTAATAGGCATTTTTATCGCTATAACATGAAAATTTTGTAGATCATGCAGAGAAAAAAATTCAGTTAAAACTCAATCCTCAATTCCAATTGCGTGAGGTTTAAGCCAGTATCTTCATCTGAAGAGTTTCATAAATAAATAACAGTAGGCAGTAGTGCTAGAATTAATTTTCAAATAGTACTAGTTTTTAGTTAAAAAAGACTTTCAGAACTCAAAAATAAGGAGCTTTATGTATATAATAAATGTAACATTATATATTAAATTTTGAAGTCATTTTATAAAAACTCTTTACATGGATTTTTATATTTTAATTTTAATTTTTGTAAAATAGAAAACAATTGCCAAAAAACGTTTCAAAAATAAAAAGTTAATAACATTTATGACATTTTTTGATTTAATGAAAAAACACTGACCTTTTCCTTTTGGGAGGACTTCTTTCGCCAGTACTTTTTCATTTAAAATTTTTCTGTCAATCCTACAAAAACAATTATCTTTAAATTTCCATAAAATTCTAAAAAAGTTTAATATTATTATACAAGAGATAAAGCTACATTTGTAATGAATTCGCTACAAACTCTAAAGGTCTCTCGGTAAGTTGGGTTGAATCAACTTATTTTAAACCAAAGAGTATGTGGTCCTACATTTTTTAATCTTGTTTTGTTTTTATTTGTTAATAAAAGTAATGCCTTTTTTATTATATCTGTATGAAAGTGCATCAATTTAAAAAGTTGTTTATTATCTATAAATATAAAAAATCCTTTTGAGAAAACCCAAACTTGAATAGGCCCCCAAACAGCATTAGCCCAGGACCCCCAAAGGTAACAGCCCGCCCCTGCAATCATTATAAAATTGAACATACCTGTAGGTACATATGTACCATATTATTTAATATTTAAATGTTTAAAAGTTGCAAGTTTTGAATACCTACTCAAGTCTTTCCGCATTTTTTATTGCTTTAAAATATTTTCAAAAGGTGGTCCTGCATTAGGGCTGTCAGTAATACAATTATGAGGCAGTTAACCAGTCATAGGATTTTTAAGCAGTTTTAAAAAAACTTTATATTGAAATAAATGTAACTTTAAATATTTTGGTGGTAAATTTTTTATTTGGCTTTTTTCTTTACCAAATTTTAGTTTAATTAAAAATTATTCACTATGATTTTATTTTATTATTAAAATTTAATGTCCTAAAACTTTTAATCATAAGTTATTTTAAATAACTTATTTATAGTATCATTATATATTATAGTAATTTATTAAGTTTAGAATTTAGCCAATCCAGTTCTAAAAATGTTTAAAAACCGTTTATGAAAATACATAGGTTATAAAACACTGCAGAAAATGGTTGAATACTGGTAAAATAAAGAGGTTAAAAAAATTAGTATTTCACAGCTCAGTAAAACGATTTTTTGACTGGGCCTGGATTGGGAAAAAAACTGATTTTGACCTGTCAAAAATTGACTTTTCACCGGTCAAAAATCGGCATTTAACCGGTCGAAAAACGCGGTTTTTAGACTTTTGAAAACCGGTTTTTAACCTTCAATAAATCGATTTAACCAACAACCAATAGTTGCATGTTTTAACATGTCAACTGTTGCCTTGGTGATAGTGCAATAAAAGTCAACAATTCTTACCCTTTGTCAAAAAATATTTTGTCTTCAGGCTCAAATTTCAGTTCATATTGCTCGGCTTCATTAAAATCGTCGGCTTCATCTGTATACATTTCGGTTTCTTCTTTTACCCCCGACTCATCATAGACCATGGAGTTGTCACTATAATCCAATTCTTCTTTCATTTCTTGTTTTATTGCTATACCAGAGGTTGAAGGCATTTCTTGGTCAGCAGAGGTATTTGTTTTATCGTAATTCATCAAAATACCACATTTGTAATCATCAACTAGTTCTTCAGGTTCTTTTTTAATGACTATTTTCTCCATTGTGTCGGAAAACTTACTTATATTTAATCTTTGTACCATGTATATAGTAATTACAGAATAGCTTACTTTGGTAAGCTTTAAAAGACAAAAGGAAACCTTCATAAACCCTCAATAGTCGAATTGTCGTAGCTTCGCCTAGTTGGCAAGAAAACGCCACAAAACGCAATCAACTGTAATCTGTATGTGATTAGGCGTAAACACAAAACATTACATGATATTATTTAATTATACACAGCCGCTTCATTATATATTCAACATAGAAAAAGGATATAAAAGAATATTGATATTTGCAAGAAAGTTTGACAGATAATTCACTAAAATACAGAAATAAACCTAAAATATCCCTAGAAATATCACCAGATCATCTGGAGCAGATCACTGTTGCCAATGTTTTCTAAAAAAGTCCTACTTTTTTGAAAAAATCAGTAAAGCCTAATTTATAGAGCGCCTTCCTTCCTCCCGTCCGCCCGTAAAAGATGACCAATACTAAAACTGTAGTGCTGTTTATACTATAAACTTTATAGATTCGCGTACCCAAACTTTGGGTCCCAAAGGACGCCCTTTATCCTCCCGTAGAAGTTTACAAGGTGGATACTAAAAATCACGAAGTTAGGCAACCAACTGTACTCTAACGGCTGGCATTTTAATGTTGCTTGTGCTGTTTATAACTATTCCATCTGGTCAAAACGTTCCACTAAAACAATGTCACCAAAAGTAAAATCTGATTTATAGATTACCTTCCTTCATTCCTCCCGTAAAACAGAACAATACGAAAATCGTAGTGCTATTTATAGATTCCCGTACGTGAGGAAGGAAGAAAGGCAATCTATAAATTAGGCTTAAGATAAGAAGTCCTATAAAATAACTATTTTTACTGTTGGCAACAATGAAATAACTGAAGGTCAATAACCGAATTCTAACCTCAAACGTCAAACGAAACTAGGAGAAAAATGAGGCGAATCCAAGGAAATTTCGGTTCCAGAGATCCTGAACAGGAAAAGAAACGAAGCAGGGAGTCTGTTTTAGCCAATATCGTAATCTATGGGTCATTTTGCCTACTAATCAGATCTGGTAAGTTACACGTTTTTTAGTCTTATAAGATTATCTGTATTTGTATGAAATTAGGGTATTTATTAATGTATTATTGTTAAATTTTAGCCCCATACTTGATTGAGAAAATATTTTAAGTCTTTCAACTTTCAATCGCCTGTACTGATGATGGGACAATGTTTGTGATACTTTTATACAACTTACATTACATGTAAAAGTATTTGTAGAATTGCTGTATGCAATGCAATGGTTTAATATATATTGCAGTGGTTATGTTGTGTTTGTTTTAATAAATTGTTGTGTATAATTTGGATTTTATTTAACCATCCTATAACTTTTATTTTCTCCGAGATAAAACAGTTTTGTGTTGGTCTGATAGTACCTATAGCACTTGGGCTTACAAGTTTGCCCTCTTATAAAGTCAAAAAAATGTCAATGAAAAATATATATTTTTTCTAATCACACTTAAAAAAAATATAGTTTGTTTTAATTTATTAAATATTTGTTCTGAAAATTAAGTAGTATTTGGAAAGGTGTGAATATTTTTGATATCAACCAAAAATTAATTAAAACTCATCTCAATCTAATTTCAAAGTTGACAGTGCATTACCTACTATAACTCCACACACTGAGTGGCCATTGAGAAGTGCCCCTTCCCATTTTGTTGAGGAAATAATAAATAAAGCAGGATATTTTTTATAAACAGTATATTTACAACACCATAAAATAAATAAAATATTTATAATAAAGAAATGAACCCTTAACCCAAGATTTGAACAGACTACCCCTGTAACCCAATACAATAAGGACAAGATTGCCTGGAACTAAAAAGTATGAGTTTAAGGATCAAGTATAAAAAATAAATACATTTGCTGAGGGGATTTTACAAATAATTGTCGGTGTTGTTGCGATATCAGTGAAGTAGAAATAAAATGTATATACAACAAAGATCTATTTGTAAATAAATTTTAAAACTTAATTGGTTACAACTTAGATAGTCATGCTTCAATGACGACAAGAGCTTCTTGTCTTTCTTCGCACAGTTCATCACCAGTCTTGGTCAACATGGCTTTAGCGTTGTCGTTCAACTTCAAACCTTGGACGATCGACCATTTTCCACCCATAACGGTGACTGGGAAAGAGAAAATCACGTCTTTCGGGGCTCCGTAGCTTCCGTCGCTGAGGACGCCCATCGAAACGTATTCTCCCGGTGCAGTACCTAAAAATAAACACGTGTAGTATTCAATTGAAGTCCATCTGTGATGTTTTGTTACCTCTGAACCAGGTCCTCATGTGATCGCTGGCGGCCTTGGCGGCCGACATGGCGGAAGACATTTTCCTGGCGGCGATGACGGCAGCACCGCGTTTTTGGATGGTCTCGACGAACGTGGTGTTCAGCCAGACGTCGTCTTTCAAAACTTCGACGACGTTGAAGATTTTGCCGTCCATGTCGACGGTGGCGGACGACGCGTCGGGGAACTGAGTGGACGAGTGGTTTCCCCAGATAACAACATTCTTAACAGAGTCTAAAAAAGGAATTCATTCCACAACTGACATTTTACATGATTAAAAGCTTTTTAGAAAAATACAAAAAGGTTTGTTTTAAATAAACAATTTTTAAATCGCATTTGCGCGCAAAAATGTTTTACTTTCTCGCACATTCCCCATGGGCGATTTTTTTAGACATTAGGCAACACGATTTCATTATTATTGTAACAATATTCTCTAAATTTTGGCAAATGGAAAAAAGGTACAAATAACTCATAAGACTCGTCGATTACAAAAGTCACACTGGACTGTAAAGCCTGATTCAGGCCAAAGTTAATTTAAATGAAAAATACAAATGACATTAGAGTCAAGAGTCTCTTATTTTTAAGTTTTAATGTGACGAAGGAGACTTTCACAATTAAAAAATCTATTTTCCAAGTGACACAATAAATGCACATAAAACATTGCAATAATTAAAAAGAAAGAAATTCTTTTACTTTACTTGAAAAAGAAAATTAAATACCGCAAATACTTACCGAAAGATAACCTTCAAAAACACACGCTGCTTGTTTGTAACGCGCAAAATAACAAAATAGCGATACCATTGCCTGCAGCGGCACCATCTCGTGCCACAGTTATAAACTACATGGGTTAAAGAGTTCTTTTATATGTAAGGCTAAACTCCAGTGTATTTTATAACAAAGCTGTTTTTATTCAAGCGGTTTGTGACGAAGAAGGCAATAAATATAAGGACAAAGTTTGGTCACGCTTAAAAAATTATTCACAGACATTTTATCACATTTTTTATAAGTACTACTTATTTGTTATTTCATTTTAATTTTAGAATTCTGTTTTATAAGAAACCTTTGTAATATATATAGTTTTCACTATTGCAATATGATGGGGTTATAGAGTGTGACTTTCAACCTTAATTAAGACATTAAAAATATTTTTATAATTAATTGTTCTATTAATTTTTGTTATTTTAAGTTTATATATTTACTTAAATCAAAAATCCATTAAATTTTATAAATACATCAACTTTAACGGGCTCCAACTTGAAAACAAAAAGAAAATTTTTTATTACATTGGTTATATTTCTATAAGATCTACAGAAGGTAGGATAAAAATATTTATCCATTTACTCCCATGAAGCTTTTATAAAAATATGACCAGTGTTATGATATTTTTAGTACCTACTCAATTTAAAAGAGTTTTATAATTTTAGCTTTTAATTAATTAATTATTAATTATTATACTTTTAAAAGTGACTTCCCCAACTTTCACCATTGATTACAATTTTACTATTGGACGTAATCTTGTCTTTATATTATTCAGTTAAAACTAAATTGCGAGCAGATAAAATGAAATGAGCCACTTACCGACTGGTTTGTTGATGGCTCTGGCGATTTCGGCCAAGGCACGATTCTGGTCCAACCTGGTCATGGCAGTGAAATTCTCCTTGGGGATGGAGGGCGCGTAACGAGAGCAGATCAAAGCGTTGGTGTTGGCCGGGTTGCCTACAACCAAAACTTTCACGTCTTTTTTGGCGTGTTTGTCGAGCGCCTCTCCTTGGACCTTGAAGATTTTCACGTTGGCCGCCAAAAGGTCTTTCCTTTCCATGCCTTGTTTCCTGGGCATGGCGCCCACCAAGAAGGCAGCGGACACGTCTTTGAACGCGACGGCGGGGTCGTCGGTGGGCACGACTCCGCGGAGGATTGGGATGGCGCAGTCGTTCAATTCCATCACGACACCTATTATTATATTTATAGGTTACCTCATTAAAAACGCTACTTATCATTATTTATCCTATGTTTTGGAATAGTAATACTAATTAATTTTGCATTTATGCAATTGAGTGATTTTTCAAAAGGCCTTATTTCCATTTTTACTTGAATGTAATTTTTTGACAAAATCCCAAAGGTATGGTTAAAGGGCATATATTAACGGCGAAATATGACAGCAGGTCTGAAGTATTATTAAATATTCATCAGATTTTTTTTTAAATAATCTATATTGCCCTAACCTATACAGGTTATGGTCATTTTTTTTGAAAAATTATTGCAAATGGAAATACGACCTTTTGAAAAATCACTCCTCCATTATGCATTTAAAAAAAAAGGCTAAAACTATAAATAATAAACAAATTTAAAGAATTTAAACTGCGACTTTTATAATCACAATATGACAGGAAATACTTTATTATGTAATTAAATTCTAATTAAATTAGTGTCCAGAAAAGTTTATAAACGAGTTGCAAACTATACTTTTTCCAAGACAAATACTTATTAATATCTAAAAATAATTTAAATTAAATATTTGTATAGAGCAACATCTATAAAACAATAGAGTAACAACTTGGGAATCTGTAAAATGTCAAATTTTTATGTGTAAATCAGGGTAAATCGAAATGTATCCCTTGAAAATGGACAGTTTTATCCGATATAGAAGCAGTTTTTCGCAGTGAAAGTAAAGAAACTGTGTTATTGGCACTTCACAGTGAAGTCCCCACCCAAAATTAAGATAAATCTATTTTACTGCCGGCGAAATTAAAATATGTTTCAATACTATGGAGATATAGATAAAGTTTTATAAACAATACCTATTAAGGCCAAAATAAATGTTAAAATCCGTTAAACTATTAAGTTAAACTATTATTATAATATTAAAGCGAATTTAAAATTATTTGTTTGTAATTTATCATTTGTATCAACTACTAAATACGAAAATACGTAAATATTTAATGTTTTATTGGTTTTATCTCTGAAATGTTTAAAACCAAGTCAACCTTGTGTATTCTAAAAGTTATCTTATTTTTTTTTGTTAAAGGTGAAATTAAATAACATTTTATTTATTTAAAACTGGATGTATTCGAAGTACTAAGAGTCAGAAAAAACGCTCATAGTACAGCCGAGGCGCTAGCCAAGGCTGCAGAAATGAGCGCAGTACTATTTTTTTTAGACATTTTGTTATTTGACGTTTGACCTCATAGGTTTTGTGCATGAATTTATTTTTACAGTTACCTACATTGTAGGTCCTACACTGTTTTCAAGCTAAATGCGATAGATGGAACCAGAGACAAGGGAGAGAGAGACGATTCTTTAAATAGGAATTTCGGTCAACAATTTAGATGCGCAGGGCTGCACACAGATTTCAATGTAAATTGGTTTCTGCACATTTGTTGGCAGCCCTGCACTGAAAAGGCGCAATTATGTTCTTTACTGTCATTTTCTGTCGTCTGTCAGTCTGCTGTCAGTAAATACTAAAAGTGCTTCTGTGGTTTTGTTTATAAGTTTTATTGATAAGTTATTATACCTCGTTATATTTAGCAGATTGTTAATTGTTGTTAAATGAAATTATTTAAGGTCAAAGTAAATAAATTAAAATATGTAGGTATGTGTGATAAAATAATTTTCTTCTCTTATTCAATTCGATTAGTTTTTAGAGTGTTTTTTTGTGTTGTTAATTAAGTTTTTGCTTTAAAATATTTTCGTGTAGGTATGTTTATTTCATATTTAAATATAATTAATATTTTGATATTTTTACATTATTTTTCTTTCTATTTTTGTCTATAAATTATTTGTGTTCAATGTTATTTTTGTTCCTGTTTTTTATTGGTTTACATGTTGTAAATAAAATAATTTTAATTTAATGCTATTTTAATTTTTTTAAACATGATATCTACGAAAGATCCTACTTTGTAATTCAATCGGTGAGATTAAGAACAGTACAAGTCCAAAATATTTATTTTTACAAATTATTTTCTAAAATTAATTTAAAAGTTTAAAATGAATTTTTGTGAGAAGATTTATATTATTTTATAAAATATTATTATTATGTTTTATAAAGTATTTAGTTGAAATATTTTCACAAAAATGCTTTTTGAACTATAAAACTGACTTTATAAAATAATTTGTCAAATTTTTTGAACTTGTACGGTTCTTAATCTCACTGATTCATTTGTAGCAAACAAAAATTAAATATTTAAAAATACCGCGCAAATTTTTTTTAGCATTAGTTCTCGCAGCCCCCGGCGAGGGCGCCACATTTATTGTTTCCAATGTTTATATGGGAATCGTTCGTCTCTCTCTCCCTTGTCTCTGGATGGAACCTCTCTTTCTATGTAATTTTAATGTATTTTGATTATTGTATATCAGGGTATTATAATTTGACTTTTGAACTGCATTCAAATATGGATTCTTTCTATAAATAGGCTAAGTGTTTAAAATTTAATATTTAATATGAGCGTTGTAATATGCTTAAAAACAAATTTAATTAATTAACTTAATTATTTAGCTGCAAGGTTAAAGGAACTAATTGATTAAATACATTTTAATCAATAACAATAATTTAATACTAGGTAAAAAAAGCATTATTGCACAAAAAATTAATTACCAAAATATCAATGTACAATTGCCCAATAAAATAAGATAACCCAATGAAAATTATCACAAAATACAATAACAATATGCATAATAGTGTTGTTTTTAATACTAAAAAAGAGTACTGTAACTTTAAAAAGTTAAGTGTCACAAAAAAAACTAAATGACCTGTTTAAACAAATTAAACATTATAAGTTAACTGGATGCAGGGCTATATTTAAGGACTATACGTCCAGTATAATGTATTTATGGTTTTGTTGTCCATGGAGACATTACCAAAATAATGATTTGGTATTATTATTAAATACAAACCTTCCAAAACACCCATCATCGGTGGGATATCGAGCAAGTGCAAGATGACAGGTTGGTTTGGCCCAAACACATCCCCCTTGGAGATCATGTACAAAAGGGAGTAGGCGATTTGACCAGCAGCCCCCGTTACGACAACTCTGATTGGTTCAGCCTGTAAGAAACAAAACATGAGCCTACCATATATTTTTTAGGTTAGGTTATATACCATTGGATTTCTTTCTTTAAATTTAAAAATTCTAAATATGTTTTGAATTTTGTAATTTTACTAATGTAGAACAAAATGATTATTACCATATTGAAAATAATTATTAATTGAAAGATATTATTTATTATAACCGGGTTATATAACTTCATCTTTGCCAAAAACAAAACATGCAAAAATCGATTCATAGTCGACTTACCATTTTTATTATGTGAAGTTATTAAACCACCGCAAAATGCCCACAAAAACTGAATCCAGAACAGAAAACCGACTATGAAAATTATTAATAGTCTGTATAGTGAATGATAATAAAGGACAAATATTTTTGACCTTTATGCATATGAGATTGCTGACATCATCTGTCAAACGTAAACTCGATTCGATTGGTCTGATACGGTATCGTCACGCAGATGTTGACCAATGAGATGGCGAGATTCAAATTGCTTTCAAGTGGAAAGTTATGTAAACATGTTACTTGATTTTTCGGCGTTTTAAATTTGTTTTCTTGCCAATTTTATTGTTTTTATCATTTAATTGAAATTCTTTAGCATGGAGTCATGTTTTTTAGGTTTATAATTATACAATTTTCTAATTAATTAATTTTGTTTAATTACCTACATAAAGTTATGATTTTTACCCAAACTGTCAGAAAATACATCTGACAATTATGTTAACTGTCATGCTAACTGCAGCTTCAAGGTTCCTATACCCAAATAAATAATACTAGTATTATTTCAATGCCTATATAGTACCACTTGATATTTTAAAATTAATTATATATTTTTTAACGCAATCATGGGTAGGTATTCTCTTACTATCGGAAAACACATCTTTTAACCATGAAAACTTTAGCTATAGTTGCAGATGCCTTAATTATTTTGTTTCCATATTAAGGATTTTTAAATAAGCTAAATATGGAAAAAAAATAAACATATATAAAAAATGTATTTTGTATTTTATTTTTGAAACCTCAACTTTGAGTAGTTTTGAATTTTTATACTTTTCGTTTTTGTATGTTGGAAAACATTAAATTTTGGCATTTTTTTCAAAAATAAAAACCATCTCATTAAAAAAATACTTACCCCATGTAAGCAAGTGTTATATGTAAAATTGGGGACACAATCAATATTCATTGTAAATAATTTATTTAAAATATAATTTCGACATTTAAAGTCAAAATTGACAAATCAGCTTAAAGGAAGAATGGCCCTGTATAATTATGTATACATATCGTCACCCTAATATTACAAGGTTGCATGTTACTATTTACACATTTTGAGTAAAACGTAAAACAAAAAAAGCCCATCAGCCTTTAGGTACAGTCAATATTTTTTACTTGTGATTTTGCTTTGAGCTGATTTCATATGCAATCTTAGTAAATTCTTATGTTTATTTTGACTCAATTGTTGTTATATTCAAAATTAGTAAAATTTTGAAAAAAACATACAACTTTGTAATTTTTTTTAATTATATTTATTGATTATTTACGTTACATAGAACTATGACATTTTAATTAACTTAAATATTTTAATTACCGTATACTTCAAAATTAGAACTAAACTGAAAAAATAAAAACTACAAAAGAAAAATATTTAAAATACAAAAACTTTAAACAAAATTTAATGTTATAATAAAAAAATACAGTTAATAGAAATTAGCATGATTATTCAATTTTTTTGTGTTTTTTGTGCTTTTTTTTGTTTTAAATTTTTAACTACTGCCGTTTTAGTTTGTCCTTTGGTAAAATCACTTTTTTATTTTTTTTCCTGTTTTATTTACTACTGCCGCCTGGACGCTTGAACTGTTCTGCTTTGGTAAAATCGCTAATATTCTAGATCTACCTTGGGCATCCATGTTTTTATTATTTAATTATTAACAAATTAATTACAGCACTTGTAAATGAGATGTCACACAGAACTCAGAATCTCACTTTAATAGAACATAAAGTTGCGTTAAAATGTTTGTATGTCAAAAACAAAGAACAATGCAAATTGTAAATTTGACGTTACACAAGTATTGTTGATTGTGTCATTTTTGTGATTAAGGTAAATTCTCACAAAATGTCTTTGACAAGCCTAATGGACATACACCCTTGTTAATGTTAATTTATTTCCAAAGTATTTATAACAAAGGTGTATGTTAAACATACACCTCTGTTGGTTTTATTAAACATATTAAAGCACATACACCTCCGTAATTTTCCTAATATTTTACTTAATATGGGTAATTCCATCTATGTTTTGCTTAAAAAAGAAAGATTTGGTAACATACAACCTTGTTATATTATTAAGTCGGAAAGTGCAAAAAACATGACATACAACCTTGTAATATTAGGGTGACGATATGTATTCCAATCAAAAATAAATTTTGATTAAATAAATACAGGGTGTCTGGAATATAATCAACAAATAAATTCTATGACAAAATCAATTTTTATAAAAAAAATGGTAGGTAATTTATTATATAATATTTTGGCATTAAAATTGTTAAAAATATTCTTCTTTTATTAGGCTATACATTAAATAAAAAAACGCAAATTATCTCTACTTTTATAAAATATTTTTTGCGTTTTTTTATTTAATGTATAGCCTGATAAAAGAAGAATATTTTTGAGAATTTTGATGCCAAAATATTATATAATAAATTATTTACAACTTTTTTTATTAAAACAGTTTTGTAATTCGTGCGTTTCGCGCGCCTGAAACGACCAAAATGTTTAAAAGGAAATTTTAGAGGAAATGTTTATTATTTTGTATTTCGTAAAGAAGGTACATTTTCCAGTGAAGTCCACTCCACATTTAAGTTTTTTGGATAAAGAAATGTTAAAACAAATATTGCAATCTTTCTTTTATAAACTTTATTAAAATTATGGTAATTTTTATATAAGCAAGTAAATAATTTTACTCCAGTAAATGGTTGGACTTTGTTTTAATTTTTCTAAATATAAACATAAGAATACTAATTAAGGTAATTTTAAAACCCAGCTTTTAATCTCAAAAATATGTAAATATTAAAATATTAATACTGAATACTGGAAAATATCCAAAAAGCGTTGTAGAAATATGTGATTTTTAAAATATCTATAATATTTAAATAAATAAAATAACTTAATAAATAACTATGTAATAACTAGAAAGCTGCAAAATTGTAAGTTTACCCTGTACACAAAAAATAAATGTGTTCTTTCTATTAAATTTAAGGAACTTGTTAAAGGCAAGATTTGTACTGATTTAAGCTGTAAATTTTCTTATCCAATGTAAAGTACAAATTGTTTGGTATTTGCTAAAATTATTTAAAAACATTAAATACATAGTACGATTTTGGTTTGCTAAAAACGCACCCAATCAATTTATAACACAAAAATAAAATCAATTTTATTTTGCATTAAACCGATTGGCTAATTTAAAATGGACGGCTTACATATCACATGGGTTTGAACGTTAGGTTCTGTCTTGACTTTTTAGGTTTTCGAATTGCTTGATTAGGGAATGCGTGCCGGGTATTTCGTCTCTGTAGTCGAGCATATCACAGAGAAGGGCGGCGCTGCCGCTGCCGTTGCGAGACGACGGTTTCAGACTGCACGGGGCGGAAAAGGCCGAGTCCTGGAACACGTCTTCCGAGTCGCTGTACAGGTTCGAAAGGGACTTCGCGGATTTCAGCGGAAACGTGTGCTTTTCTGCGAGATGGGCTTCGTCCAGTTCCTCTTCTAGAGAAAGGGCGGCCATTATGTCGGGTTGTGATTTTCTAAAATAAATTATTTTATGATTAAGTTATTTGAAATAATTACAGTTTTTTCTACTCCTATTAGGGAATGTGACCGTTCTAACATTTTTAATGTGGAATTGTTGGTACATCGTAATAGTATATTATTAAACGAGAGATAATGTAGGCTATTATTCACGAGGATGAGGTTTGCGTCTCGAGTCGCACTTAATTAAATCAGCCGAGTGAATAATGCGCATAATCTCGAGGGTAAAACTATACTTCATCTACTTAGTAGATAATTAAATAATTTTCAGAAATAAATAAATAAAAACTGACATCTGTCAAATGATTAACCTTACTTTTTACTAATTTTAAATGTTATTAAGTCGCCTTCTGCCTCAATTTCAAACCCGATTAGTTTAAATGACATTGAATATAAGCGTTTGACAGCTGATTATTAAAAGTTATACATTTGAGTATAATCGATTTATTGCATATAATATTGATGATATGATATCTTGTAAAAAAACATTTTTGAATGTTGAATCTAAAATATTCGCCCATATTAATCGATATTTATGATATCAATAAATGATAATTAGTTACTAAAAAGTAGATTAATAAAACTAACATGTTATCCAATAAATAAAAAATGTATTGGCATTATTTCTGGATGACTGTAAAGTCAACTTGAAACAAATGATTAACTGCTGTATACATATATATATATATACGTATCATTTTGACACTTTTTTACATTAATGTTTTGTTGACTAGTCAACTAGCTAATTTGCATTAGGATTTGATTAAATTTAATTTAAAAATGTATTGAATATACCTTAACCTATAATTATATGGAAACATAAAAATGTGACAGTTTGTGACAGCCGGGGGGGGTTTGAGAGGTTATGTTGTCACAAAATTATAAAAATATTTTGGAATTTAATAATTAATAGGTAATGGTTATAAACTGGATATTAAGATTTTATTTTAAGCAAAAATTTCGTAGGCTAGACATAAAAATCGGTGTGACGTGACGCCAATGGGGTGGGGGGGTCCCATAATTTGTGACACTTTGTGACAAGTGGGGGAGGGGGGTCGAAAATATTAAAAAAACGTGTGACATCATTTATGGACGGCCCCTAGGTAGGTAGGTAGGTATTATACAAAAAAACACTTTTTACAAGTTGAAAATAAAAATTTACGGTGGTACCTATATTATTTTTGTTTTGATTCTTGGTTGCATTTTTTTATTATTTTAATTAGCAATTATCTTATAAGTATAATAAGATAAATATCATTTCATCATACATAATTCTTTGTATTATTCAGAATGATTATATCACACAATTATTAAATGAAGGTTTTTTTTGATAAAAATCAATACTTAAATGATTTGAAAAAAATCAATTAGAAACATAGGTACTTTTGTTTTCTAATATCAATTATATTATATAAAGATGTACCTAATAGTAGTTTTTCTACAACCACCACATGGTGGTTACATTAATTTTGTATGGCGTTGTTGCTAAGAAAATGAAACAATGCCTCTTCTAATTTAAATATGAACAAAGAACAGGTTTATTTAATCTATAAATTTGGGGCAATTAACAAGTCTAGATAAATAAGTTTAAAAACTTTCCAATAAAATGAAATTAATTTGAACCAGCAGATAATCCTGCTTGCCAGATGTCATGCATTTATAACTGGATAATTCTATAATGTAATTGCAGTTTTATTACTTGACATTTAGCTCTGATAATATTAGACTGATAACGAAATTAAATCGGATTTTAGCGCAAAAATAATTAAGATAATGTGAATAATCTTACCTTCTTTCTCTTCTTAAATCTTCCTCTCGTTTTTTGAAATCCATTAGTTCTTGCTTCATTTTTTCTTCTGCAGACACAAAACCTTTTCTAATTGGCTTCCCTTTTTCCAAATTTACTTTAGTGGGATTAAAATAGTCTTCGGGCGTCCACATTTTATTTAATGATGATGAAAATTTCGTTACTGCATTAACTTTGCCCCTTGTTTTAAAAAAAGTTTTCATAAGGCCCCGGGTTGGGTTGGTATTTTGGGTAAATAATCTCACACCATTCGTTTTTTGGACTTGCTTAAGGGGTGAAACACCGTTGGTTATGCCACTTGAAACCCCGTTTGTCGTACCATTTCCGTTGAAAATGACTTCATTGTTGTTAGTTTCATTATTTTCCACTTTTCCATTGTACAGTTTCCGTAACTCGTTATCCCGCTCAAGACTCTCCTTAATTTCCTTCTGAATTCTATCCAAAGTATTGTTGTTTCCATTCATTTTGCTGCCAAATAAAAGTACTTTAATTCAAAATTCCAACACCTGTTGATTTTATATGATAACACGAAAATTCGCCGATTCTACTTACATTGCAATTTATTAAATGATTTATCAATACTTTAGTTCATCGTTATCAAGATAAGATGTGTTGCCGCAAATTTTACTGAAAAATTAAAAATTGCCTGCGCGATATGTGAAATACGGAAACCGTTATTTACAGCAGCACAGCCGTGAAATGAGAAAACCCTGCTGCAAAATGTAACAATTTAACGTATGTCTTTGATCACTAATATTATACAAGGGCACATAAAAAACCTAAAATCATTTCTCTAAATGTTTTGTATGACAAACATGTCAAAACTATAACATTTAAAATTATTATTTAGCTAAACATAATTATCAATCGACCTTAAGAAAATTATATAATGGCCTTATGTTGTGTCAATTGCTTAAAAATCGTTCATCTTTTCAAAGGTAATTTTAAACATCTCCCGTATATCCACTTAAAAATGTTATCAAAGACATGCGTGAAATAATTTGAATTGTGCTTCAATTTTGAGGTCAAGGACCAAAAAGTAGATCACTCCATTTTTATCTTAAATTCAATTGTCAGATGGCGCTGTTTACCGTGAGTTATGGGAATTTAAATTCCATTCTTTTCAGTATTTTATCTCGTAATAAATTAATTAAACAATTAAAATTAGCAAGAAATCTGTGTGAATATTACAAAAGATAGGTTTCAAAAGTTTTTATCACAGAACATAAGGCTATAGATGGCGTGGTGGTCGAATTAAATCTGTCAAAATAAGTAGTGTTTACAAATTATCAAAAATGGTTCTTGTAGATCCTGAAACAAGAAATATAGCCGGAATTCCGGGCACGGCAACAAATGTTAGGGTGAAGGAGCCTAAAAGGATCCTGCATTTTTCTGACGGTGTTTTGGAGGAGTACAGTTCTGATGAAGATGAAGTCGACGCAGCAAATAATAATACAGAGCAGGCTATTGTGGACCCCGTTAGTATTTTGTTTTTAATTTGTGATTTTACAATACAAATTATAATATTCAAGACACAAATGCATGGTTTCTATGTCTATGTATTGTTCTATGAACAGAAATAGGAATGATGTCATACAATTTTTGTTTCAGGAAATCATTTTGTTTTTACAAATTTATCACCATATTTTTTAAGTTTAAATATTCTTAAAGATATGAATGTTTTAGTATCATAATTAATGATTTCAGTAATTTGTAATCTAGACAGTTTTTACTAATTTGTATTGGTTTATTTACCAGGCTACCTTGACTTGGGGACCTTGGTTTGTTTATAAAGCTTGGACAGCAGGATCAAACACTTTATATGCTCTTGACAAATCTGGTGAATTTCTGGCCTCAATGTTTGGAATTACCACCCCAAAGTAAATCATTTTTGCATACAAAAAACAAAATTTTGATAAAATATTTTTTTAAGGTATTATTTTGAATTGGAGGAATACAAAAGACGACAGGAACAATTAAAATTGAGGCAGGAGCAAGGCGAGGGTTGGAGTGAACCTTCAACAGTAGTGCCATTAAATGAAATTTCAACTAAACAACCAGAGCCAGCTCAGGGAGAAGTTTAGTGGTATTTATTGAATATAAATACTTTAATCATTCTTATAAAATTTATTTAATTTTTATTTAATAATTAATGGCATAGCGTGGTTTTAACATTTGCTCACTGTTATAAGATATTTTTAATGAATTAATCGTGTGATACATGCATTTAAACATTTATACAGACTGTGAGAGTTGCCTTTATTTAAAATATATATTTAATTTAATATAAAATATAACATTAATTATTTTTTTAAAATTTTTGTCTTCACAATGTACTATTTTAGTACTATGCTCCGAATCCTAATCATTTAAAAGGGAATGCAGCAAATAATTGAGGTTATGTATCTGTCATTTTAAAGCTAATTACGTCTTATTTTTTAAAAATAATACTACCTATTTGTATTTGTATTTTTATAGTTTTTTAAAATGTTTAGCCAACATTGGTTATTTTTTCCCAAATACTTATGTATATACTATATAGGTAGTTTGTTTTTTTTATTCGGAATTTGACAACATCGAAAAATTTTGGTGTTTAGTTGATAAAATTATTTAGGTAGTGGGTAGATTATAATTATGCAGCATAAATTAATTTTTTGTAATCTTTGGCATTGTTAATTATAATTCTAATAATGTCAAAGTTAAATTGAGGCATAAAAGAGGAGTATCAATTTTAAATATTAAAAATACTAAAGTATATTTACCTATACAACATGGACTAGTTTGTTAGTGGTCCTTTTATGTACCTAGATTAGAGTAGCGCTATTGGTCGTTAGATGGCGCCACAGAACATACGGAGGGCGCTTCCGTAGTCTAGTTCCAGTTTACTGGGGTACGGTATTGATCGATCAAAATTAAAAATATTGTTGTGCGCATTTTTACCAGGTGGCGCTGCGATCTTATTTATCTTTGATAAAAGATTCTTAAATATAAGAGGATCACAGTAGGAAAAAATTAATTTATATTTTAAATTTCTTAACGTACAAAATTGTGTTTTAAAGATAAAAAAATACATTTTTTTGAATATTAAAAAATAAAAAATTAAAATTTGTTAGGTAATAATAAAAAAGTTATGACGATTTAAACTAAAACAAGTTTGACACATAATGTTCTTGGACACAACCAGGTTTAACCTGGCAGATTGGTTTTGTCTAGGATACTGTCAAAAAATACACCTGCTATAGATTCCCTCTTATCCTTTCTCTATATATCCTTGGTTTGATATATAACGGTTCAAGAAAAGTCTACTTAATATGTGTATGAGAAGTTCTCATTAAGAACCGCAGTATTTATTAATTTTTAATTTTGCAGCTTGTACTTACCTTACTAAAATTGATACCTGCAACAGTTAAAAGTAATTTACCGAACAAAAATGCGGCGTGCTGCGCTACTGTGAGGTGAGGCCGTTAAGTAGGTAGTAAGTAGTAGGTGAATCGGTGTAAAACAAAGTTGGAATTTTAAATAGCAATTTAAAGGTTCTGGCACGCTGCCGTGAGAGCACCGTCTCCGCCAAGAAAACTGGCGGGGTGCACTTTGTTTTTTCGTTTTTCGAAAAAGGCAAGGCCGAGAAAAGAAAGAAAAAGCCGTAAAGAACCCTGACCTAGCCCTACTATGACTCTGATGACTGAGCCAGCAAGTACGCAAGAACAACGCCATTCATAATTAGCGTGTTTTTAAACTTCTTCTTCTTTCTCGTGGCCGCCCCCGCCCGCCGCCGCCGCCGCCGCCGAGTCATAATTAATGTTTTCGACGGCGGCGGGCTTAAAAATCCTACTTGGCAGAGAGAGTCGCGTACCCAAACAAACCGAATTCAATTAGCGACGACTGACTTTGCTTGCTTACTCACTTTCACAACTTTACTACTTTAAAGATTACTTACTTATTATTTTATTCTTTCACTTTCCGTTTATGCACAATTTTCAAATGCTTTTAATCAACGGATGGGTTTCAAGAGTTGGCTTATTGTTGTTTAGGTAATTATTTTTCAACGAGGTTTTGATATTTTCACAAATGTATTTTCTAATTTGTTCTTAAAATAAAATTATACAGGGTGTCCTAAAAGTCGCACACCACCTTAAAGTTGTATGATCTACAGACCATCAAAAAATTAAAAAAATGCCCTAATTATTTAAAAAGATGTGACATTGAGTCTTTAAACATACCTAGGTAGTTTATATTGTTTCAGGTTTTATATGTTTGCTTCGAAAATGAGGTGTTTACCTATAGATTTAATCTGACAGGGACTCTGTTGTCTGAATTTTAATTATTTTTAAATAAAAATAATAATTTCTATTTTAAATTTTTGATTTTTTTGAATAAAACAACAGATTTGTATTCATCTTATATTCAATATATGTGGGTGAATATATTGAGATGTCCCCCAAGTGAAAATGATTATTTTTTATTTTTGGTTGTTTCACTGTTAGTAATAACATAACATAAGTGGTTCTGCACTAATGCAAGAATTTTAAGAAATCATACATTTTCAATATTGTATATCAGAGCTTCACAGAAGATAGCTTCACGGAGGTTAGGATTTCGTATGTTTTTAAATAGCAAATTAATGTACTTAAATTTTTGAATTATAAAACAGCAATACTCTCTTCTGCATATAAATTCTAACTGACCTTCAGGAATCACATGCATCTATAATGTTGTAAACAGAGGTTGTTGCTTAATTAAAATGATTAGAGCGCCATCTCTGGCATAAAACTTAAAGAAAAAACATATTCACGGAGGATAGAATCAATTTTTGTAACACCCACATAAATGGTTGTAAAAATTATTTCTTTTAATTTTTAATAATATTTTATATTTGATTCGATTGCTTTGGATGTGTTTACTTATAAAAATATATATATAAAAATATCAGTTCACTATAGTGAACTGATATTTTTAGTATGCTTTTACCTGAGCTGTGGTATCACAATCTAAAAAACACTACTTGATATATTTCGTAAACACCCTGTATAAAATTTAAATAATTTTGAAATGTAGCTTTAATGGTTGTCCATTTATTCTGTTATATTATGTGCCGAATACCGTGGATAACATTTTAATGGATCGCCCTAAAAAAAATTATGTGATGATGCCGAGACAATGTCTCGGAGACATTGGTTTTTTTAAGTCTATTTTCAAAATCTGTTGAAATTTTTCATTGGAGGGAAAAAACTCAAATTTTGTCGTACCTATAGCCTATAGGCTATAGGTGTTATACAAGCCTGAATACAAATGATACATACCTACCCATATATAATATATGATGAGTAACCTGATACCTATTTATTCATCATATAGAGAGTGAAGGCTTCTGGAATTTTTAAAATAGAGGGGGTATGTATCATTTGTACCTACCTACCTACTCCTGATATATGTATATGTTTCGAAGAGAAGTTCTTCCTTATAAGTAGTATATTATTTACTTTTAAGATTTTCTGATCTTTATACATATGTATATCGTTGTACGTATTCAGTTTTGTCGAGATAGGAGAAATAAAACTCAGTCTCTCTAGAGAATTTTTTTTTGATGAAAAAAGTATTTTCATTTTATTTTAAACATGTTGGTATTAACATTGATTAAGGTTCTTCACTCAACGATATTAATAAAGCGAGTGGGATAATTTTCGGGTCGCGTAACTCTTTAATACAGAGAGAAACAAAGCACCGTAATTTCTCACGTCGACCTATACGTACGGATCGGGCGCAAAAAACAAAAGCAGCATCCCCTGCGCGGTCTTTGGCCCCCCTGACCCCCCTTGTCGTCGTCAGCCGTCGAAAACCAAACCAGCTAAACTCAAACTCGGTTAGAACAACACAAAAGTTGCATCTGATCGCGTGCTATGTACGTTGGAAACCGCTAATTAATCATTCCTAGGCATTGAGAGCGTTCTCCTGTCGTTTCGCATGTTATTTATCACCGTCGACGGCGGCTGGGAGGGGTGCGGGGCCTGCTGTGGTCCCTGGTCCACGGTAATTACCATCCGGATGCTGTAAGCCACGCCCCGGACCAATCGCAGGCCGGTATCGCGCCCACCCTTCCGAACTATCGATTGTGCGCATGGCGCGTGCGCGCAACGGATGGACATTGGCCATTCGTCGCTCGGCAGCCCTACGAGAGGGCCTTGGAAAGGGTCGTGCGGCAGGTAGACGCCGGACCGATTTGACCCAAGGCCGTGGCGTCGTGTTTATGCCTTTAGGGTCAGGGGTCAGTGCAAAGGTCACGTTTACCTGGCTTTAACGCGTGCTGCAAGGGACGCGTACGATGCGATCGGTTCGCTTCTACCTATAAGAAGAGCCCGTCTTTCCGTCGGATGGATGATATTTATGCTCCGGAAAATTTTGTTTGTTTGAAAAATGTTATTACATGCTTTATTCATACTTAAATATTTACATTTATTTAGGTATACTTATTTACAAAATTGATATGTTAATGTTTAAATTGTATTTTTTTCTGCACCCTCTAGGTATAGGTATATTATTCAGTAATGTTCCACAATTTAAAAGTATCTATGTACGTAGCTATAGAAACAGATATAGGTAAATAAAAAATTCAAAAATATTTGATATAGGTATTGCAATATATTTGCCAAATTTTTACGAATTTTTTTTGTATGCTACTGGCAAATATATTGCAATACCTATATCAAATAGATATTGTAGATTGTAGATACATGTTTCCAAGACACTAAGTGAACTTTTAAATACACATTGACAAGTTGTGGCTTTATGGCGCTTTAGTAACGGGTTGAAGTTAGCAACAGGTTTTTAGTCACGGCCTGAAGTTAGTTTTAAGTTAGTTGACAATTGTCAAACATCATACAATCGTTAAAATAAAGTCCCTAAAAATACTAAATGTGAAAATTATTCAAATATACAAAAATATTAAATATTTAGTATTTTGACCCCAATATTTGAAAAGATTATACCTATAAAAGTTTTTAGTGACCTTTTGATTTAGCCGTTAACTATATTTAACTGATAAGCGTTAAAAATTTTACGTACAGTGCCCATAGAACATTCTCTTTTCTTTTACTGTGAAAAACTGCTTCTATATCAATTGTTAGTCTATTTTTAAGGGATAAATTTTGATTTACACAGACAAATTTGAAATTTTAACTCCGGTAGATTCCAAGTTAAAAA